CACTAGTTCAGGGACGTTCCCGGTGCATTGATACACAGGGTGGACCTACAGGATTCCCCAGGCCAACAGCTAAGGAATTTGAGGGGGAAAACTGCCTTACTGGCAAGCTAGCTTTTCCAGTGATACGGTATAATCGGAAACCCAGCTCACTAGTTCAGCAACGTTCCTGGTGCATTGATACACAGGGTGGACCTACAGGATTACCCAGGACAACAGCTAAGGAATTTGACTTACTGGCAAGCTAGCTATTCCAGTGATGCGGTATAACCTGGAGACCCGCTCAATAAATAGTTCAGCAACGTCGCGCGTGGTCAGTAGTTGGAGGGATGACCGCCCGCACATTACAATATCTTTACAACCAAATAGTGTTCCTGTTCCCCTTCATCTGACAATGTCTGTTTACCACCAACACCAGCATCTCTCACTTGGTCTTAAGCCGTCTCCTTTGTGAAGTTGAACAGCCATACTGCCCTTTGTTGATGTGACTGGCGAATCGCCTTAATGACGTCATAGCTTGAATTAGATACACAGGAAATCCCTCTAAATTAGCATTATTCTTCCGAGCTCTCTATTGCGGAGTCAAATTATAACTGGTCACAACGGAATCCCACCAGCAGTACTTACATAGCTTTACTCTGCACACAGTGACACGTTAACCCTTTCACCACTGTAAACCATAATGACCTTATCCATATCAATGCATGGAAGAGTCTACTAAAGTTACATAGGGGTGAAAGGGTTAAGTAGCATACGAAACGTACCACTGCTGACTGCGCTGAATTTGATGTAACGTTAACACTGCACCTGGTTTCAGGTATCAGAATGAAGGAGGAACGGCATGGTGTTATAAGCCAGTGATTGTGTACATTTCTCCTGGTCTCGTAAGCATGTTTGTGGAGCAAAGTCCCAGTTGCACTCGGCTTTCAGTTTTGCTATTTTCCCCAGACTTTGCAGATTCTCCTTTCAACTGAGAGAAGTTCTTTTAAGTCAAGTTTTGACCCCGGAGGAGTTGGTTAAGCGGTTGTAGTAATAGTGTAATCCTAAACGAAATGTTGATAATAATGATAAAAACGAAGACATTGATAGATTTCTTTGATTTTTCACAGCCGACACCTCTGGAGATCAATATCGCATGACCCAGGTAGGTATGGATGACTTGAACGCTTCAGTTTCAGGTTATACCGTTAAAGTCTGGGGGAAAAAAACAGATTCTAGTCAACATCTTTTTCAGATTTTTACTTAAAGGTTTTTTGGGAAAAAAGAAGAGTATGCCATCAAGAACAAGAGGCACAAAGGGCCTGTATCACTCACCTGGATATCTAAGCAATCATGGCAAAATATTCTCCCAATGAGATCCAAGGGAATATGCCAGACCCCAAGGTCAATCCTTGTAGCATATCTGTATTAGATGTTTCATGCCCAGCAATTTTATGTATTGTTATGGGGTGGGGATCTCTACTGTTTCCAAGCTGTGACTCAGAAACTAGGTCCCTAGGGTTGTGGCCAGACCCCAGGATCAATTCTAACATCATGACTGCATTTGTCTTTTTGCCAAGCATTTGTATTTATAGTTTTGCGGTGGGGATCTCAACCGTTCAAAGTTATGACCCAGGGGTTAAGTCTGCAAGGGCGGGGCAGACCCTGGGGTCAATTCTAATATCATGACTGCATTCGTCTCTTTATGCCCAACAATTGTATATATAGTTTTGGGGTGGGGATCTTAACCATTTCGAAGATATGACCCAGAGGTTAAGTTTCCAAGGGAGGGGCAGAGCCAAAGGCCATCCTGGAAACATATGTGCATTTATCTCTTTATACTCAGCAATTGTATATATGGTTATAGGGTGGGGATCTCACCTGTTTCAAAGTTATGACCCAGGAACTATGTCTCCAAGGGTGGGGCCAGACCCTAGAGCCATCCTGGAAGCAAATGTGCATTCTTCTCTTTATACACAGCAATTGTATATATGGTTATACGGTGGGGATCTCAACCATTTCCAAGTAATAAACTTATTTTGGCCCAACCCCTTAGCTCAGGGGGTCAGCCCCACCATTTGTATAATTTTGAATCCCTGCCTCCTATGAATGCTTCCGACCAAATATGATTGATATCCATAGCATAGTTCAGCAGAAGAAGTCGATTATAGCAGTGTAGCCAAATTGCCTCCTTTTGGCCCAGCCCTCAGCCCCACCATTTGTACAATTTTGAATCACCACCACCTAAGGATGCTTCTAGTCAAATATGGTTGATATCCATATCTTAGTTCCACAGAAGAAGTCGCTTAAAGCCATATAGCAAAATAACCCTTTTCGGCCCTGCCCCTCAGCCCCCTGGGGGGTCAGCCCCACTATTTGTACAATTTTGAATCCCTGCCTCCCATAAATGCTTTTGATCAAATAAGATTGATATCCACTGCATAGTTCTACAGAAGAAGTCGTTTGTAGCAATATAGCTAATTTGCCCCATTTTGGCCCAAACTCTTAGCCCCCTTGGGGGTTAGCCCAACCATTTGTACAATTTTGAATCTCAGCCCCCTTGGGCGTTAGCCAAACCATTTGTACAATTTTGAATCTCTACTACCTAGGGATGCTTCCAGTCAAATATGGCTGATATCCATCTCTTAGTTCCAGAAAAGAAGTCTCTTAAAGCAATATAGCCAAATTGCCCCCTTTTGGCCCGCCCCTCAGCCCCCCTGGGGGGGTCAGCCCAACCATTGGTACAATTTTGAATCCCCACCACCTAGGGATGCTTCCAGTCAAATATGGTTGATATCCTTCTCTTAGTTCCAGAGAATTAGTTGCTTAAAGCAATATAGCAAAATTGTCCCCTTTTGGCCTGCCCCTCAGCCCCCTTTGGGGGTCAGCCCAACCATTGGTACAATTTTGAATCCCCACCACCAAGGGATGCTTCCAGTCAAATATGGTTGATATCCCTCTCTTAGTTCCAGAGAAGAAGTTGCTTAAAGCAATATAGCAAAATTGCCCCCTTTTGGCCCCGCCCCTCAGCCCCCTGGGGGATCAGCCCACCATCTGTACAATTTTGAATCCACACTACCTAGGGATGCTTCCAGTAAAATTTAGTTAAATGCCAATCAATGGTTAAGACGAAGAAGTCGTTTAAAGAAATTGTTTACGTACGGACGCCACGGTATGACATACATGTAAGCTCACCTTGGTCATTCGGACCCGGTGAGCTAAAAATAAGGCATTCTCTTAGGTGCATACATCACCCAGGTAATTTTCCATTTATATCTTGAATGTAATGTATGTGGTTTCTTTCCACTATAGTAGCAGTACCTTTTTGTGGTAGATTGTCACATGAGAAAATAGCATCACCTTTTGTGGTAGATTGTCACCTCAGAAAATAGCATCATATTTTTGTGGTAGATTGTCACCTGAAAAAATTGCATCACCTTTTTTGTGGTAGATTGTCACCTGAGAAAATAGCATCATCTTTTTTGTGGTACATTGTCACCTGAGAAAATAGCATCACCTTTTCGTGGTAGATTGTCACCTGAGAAAATAGCATGTTTTTGTGGTAGATTGTCACCCAAGAAATAGCATCATGCTTTTTTGGTAGATTGTCACCCGAGAAAACAGACACTATTCCGAGTCTATTTGCACCCCTTATAACATTTTAAAAAGTAATGGCTCCGACGACGAAAGGTTAAAAGTCCTATCCTCCCCTTGTCATCGGGAAGTCTTGTTGATGATTTCAGTAATTCAAACTTACCCAGCATCTAGGGATGAGAAGTGACATGATCCATTCGCCTGAGCAGCTAGGTATTGCTAGAGGGACGACAGGACGGAACAACCTGACACAAGTGACGAGAAATGACATAGCTGCAAGGGTTAGTCACATGTGACCAGACTTCCACAGTACTAGTATTTCTACATGCACTGGGAGTTGTTTGTCACTTTTGCCATACCCATATATCGTAAACAACATAACTATCTTTCAAATAAATGGAAATATGTTTAATGTCTTCAATAAAACATTTATAATCATATTTACAAGCCATTTGATAAATGTACATATATTAAAGGAATTCTTGAGATTAATATGGTTCGTGGCAAAATCGTCAAATGAGTAGTTTTTTTTTGGGGAAATATCTCAATTTAAACATATCACAACTGAACATCCATTAGAACAATATTAATAAGAAAATATTTATATTTATATGACAACTATATGCCCCCTCACCCACATTGACAGAAATGGAATTACACAGACCTACGTTTGATATAGTGCTGTAGTAAATCTTAAGTTGTATCGACAGACGGCAGATGACTAGAGAACTGTTGGTATTGTAGTACATGTACATGTATTAGAATAATGGAGCTAGGTGTTAAGTCTATCCAAAATAAGTGAAGTGGAAAATATAGGTCACAGTGACCTACATTTTGATATAAGGGTGTAGCACTCCACAAGATGTAGCCACATGAGACGTTTGATGTCTGTTGGTATTCTAATACAGTGTACATGTACTGGAGCAATAGAGCTAAATGTAAGGTTTAACTAAAATCAGTCAGGTGGAAAATGAAGGTCACAGTGACCTATATTTGATACATATGAACAGAGTACTCCTTAGGATGTTTCAACATGTGAATGTCAACAAGGTGGAAAATAAAGGTCATAGTGACCTACATTTATAACAATTGCATATTGTTATAGTACATTGTATCCTAAGATTTCTCCATATATGCATGTAAAATCTAACAAAAATCAGTAAAGTGGAAAATATAGGTCACAGTGACCTACCCTGGCATTTTTGTTATGTTGATGTACAGTAAATTTTCACATATCATAATAAAATTTCTATTTTTTGTAACGGTTTAATATTTAAAGGATTAACACTAGAACAATAATCCACAGAATTATATTTTAGTTTTTTGCTAAGACAAGCCACTACACTATTTCGTAAAAATAGAAAATTGTTTCACTGAATCTATTTTCCCGTAAAATATCTCAATCATAAAATGATAAAAAAAAAGATGAAAATTTGAACAATGTGAAAAACCGCAGGTATACATTATGCCGACACCAAAATATCCCATCAACAGTATGTCAGTAATGTACCCAGAACAGTCCCTGGTTTCACCAACCTTTCGGGTGACCAATGGCTACAAAAACAATCAAGTAAGGTATATGGTCGCACGAACCTTCCAGGTGATTAGCGAATACCAAAACTGTGAATTACGATCTGTGGTCACAGGAACCCTTAAGGCGACCAACGGCTTGGCTTGGCAGTATTTGTGGTAACCTCCTTGAAACAATCAATGCGTCAAATTGTCACAAATCTGCAGTAAATCAAAATTCACTTGTCAAATTCTCAAACACCGACAATATAAATATACATGGAATAATCTCTATTCAAACTATAGAAAAAAAAAATATCATTTTTCAATGATATGATATATGCCATAGGTTTGTCCTATAGTGGGGAACACTTCAAGTTGCAACAAAGTATCTGGCCCCACGCTCAAGGATAATCTTGATTTTAAAGAAATTCCGTTAACTGAAGCTTTTCCGCAGGCAAGCATCGAGCTGCCAGTCCCTATTTTCACAGACATTCCTACACTTAAGGAAGCTTTTCTGTAGTAAAGAATTGTTCTAAAATTTAAGGCAACTTTAGTCATGCTTTCCTATAGAAAATCTTAAGTATCTACCTTAGATTAAGGAATGTTCATGAAAATGGGGAATTATTTCGTATTTTATAAATAGTGATGAAGAAGAGGCATCTGTTTATATTGTGACTTTGAAGGCTGGTTTCAGGACTAGTTCAAGTGATTGCCCTGCCCCCAATTGTGATTGTCGTGATTGCCCTCGTCTTGTTGTTGTCTTCTACTAGATGGTGCCATTCCAAACCCAGATACACCTCCACGTCTGTTCGGGAAATACTTGAACCTGGGAATAAATCAAATTTTACATTAAAATCTGAGAAAGTACTTGAACTGATTTGATGTTGTAATCAGATGAAATCCAAAAACAGGCATTACATTGAAATGAGAGGAATGACTTGAACGGATTTTACAATACAATCCAAGGAAATACTACCAGAGATGCTACACTTTAATCTGCGGAGATATTAAAACAGATGTAACATCATTACGAGAAGAAAGACTGAAACATAACTTGCATTTTATTACCCCTTTGAGAAAATCTAGGAATCTGATTGGTTAAAAAACTACAGTGTACCAAACCGCATTCGTAAATCTCAAGGGGTATACAGTCATGTCACGTGATTCTCAGCAGTAATACGGTGGAATCACATGATTTTACAAGGGGTATACGGGTCACGTGTCTTTGTATCTTGCGGCCGGGCAACGGGAGACAACTCGCATTCATCGTCTGCTTCGCTGTTTACAAAATGGCAAAACAGTTTGTCTTTGTTTTAATTATAAAAGACTCAACGGGGTAATAAATTTGTTACACAGATTTTTGGCAGGGTATGCGGGATGGTATGACCCTACAGGATTTCCTATTTCCTTCGGCCGAAATACGAAATCCTGTAGGGTCATACCATCCTGTATACCCTGCCAAAAATCCATGTCACTAATAATATCTATTAAAATGTGGAAATATTTGAACAGATGTTAAGTTTGAAACAGAGTAATCAGACGAAATTCTCCTGTAGATTTTGTTTAATACCTTATAAAATGTGGAAATATTTGAACAGATGTTACGTTAAAACGGAGGGTATACTACAACAGAATTATATTGCAATCGCAGGAAACTGTTAAACACTAAAACAGATTTTACAATACAATCAGAGGGAAGTACACTGAAACTGTGAGTATATTACAACCAGAAAAAATATCAAAACAGATGTTACATTTTAATATGTGGAAATACAAGATAGATGTTTAGTTTTAGTCGAAATCTAGATTTATACAGATGTTTATTTATAATCAGAAGAAATACTAATATAGACTTTACATTATAACCCAAAGAAATATTAAAACAGAACTTTTACATTACAGTCTGAAGAAATAATAATAGTTAAATGTAGCCAAGTTTGGGAGTTTGCTTTCCTAACCATCTTCTAGAGCAGACAAGCCCATAAACGGATTGGATCTATATTACAGGATTTTAACTTGAATGTACTTTTGACCAATTTTCTAAAATTTATTGATGCATCATATTTTTATTCCACAATTTTGACAGTTGTTCACATCTTGGATTTTTGTTTTAAAAATAAAACATAAATTTTGATATACTTACAATATGCTTGGTACAGTGAGAAAACGTGCTCCTCCAAAGTCTTGAGGATATTTAAACATTAAAAAGAAATACAGGTGTCCAACAAGGATTCCGAGCAGCTCTGAGATTCCCCTGTAGAAATAAAAATAGAATTCATTTTTCTTTTCATTAAAAAAAATGCAAAAGAACTCTTAAGGACTTGTGTACTTTTAAGGATTTATTTATTCAGTTAATACAATTATGAATTAAAGTTTATGTATTTATTTATACATGTGTTTTTATTAGGGGTCATCCCCCCTTTTGCACTAGAACTTTCCGACTGAGCTCCCACATATACATTAGAAGTAAATTATGTTTTGTTAATGATTTCCTTGGCAAAAGCCTCCTTCAGGCTAAACTGGTTGGCATTACACACTGTAGTATGTTTAACTTAACAATTCAAACCAATGTTAACTTATATGCCAGGTTAACTGTTGAACACCAGGCCACAGTTGCTCAAAATATGTTAGAACTAACTGGTTCACCCCTGAAGTCGCATTTGAACTCTTCCAATTCAAATGTTGGAATAGTTCATTATGAAATTTCAGGGGTAAATGAGTTAAACGGTGGTTAGTGATAAATTCAAATAGCTGCTAATTTGAAGCAAGAGCTTTCACTTTAAATCAATCCTCAAAACATATATCAAATATATAGCAGTGAAAAGATATAACAGATGTTTCAAATTTTGATTTTGTTGTACATGTATTCATATTTACATATTCATCTACAAAATATTGACCCCCTTCATCAAGTTGAAGTTTATGTCAAGGTGTGAGTGAGAGGGTGTTTATGCTAAGAAGAGAAGGACAGAAAGAGAGGGAGAGATAGAAATGTAGAGAGAGAAAAAATGGCTAAGTGGAGGGATCAAATTGCAGATTTGAAAGCCGAAGTCGGGGGGATTGATGCAATGTCAGGTGGCAAGGAGTTCCAGTCAATGGTTGTTCTAGGAAAGAAGGAGTATTTACGTACCTGTATTCTACATGAGAGAGTTTGATATGTATTCTGGTGTTCATGTCTTGTAAGGCGGGTTGGAGGGACATATGCATGGATATCTTTTCTGATGTTGATTTTATTGCATGTTATTTTGTGTAGTGACGTTAGTTAGCTGGATATCTTTCCTTCTGTGTTCAAGGGAATGACACCAACACTAGAGGCGTTTCTGTGTTTGTTGGTGACAAATCTGGCTGCTCTTCTATGTACCATATACCACATTTGAATTCCCCCTTACCACTGGTTAACACTACCCAACCTTTGAGCAACCAAGAACCGATAGCTGATCAGGACTGGGGCTAGGCGATATTTTCAGAAGTACATTTACCCCCTGGTACAATTCAGTGCATTTTTTAAATGCTTCATCAATAGTTGCCACAATACTTGAAATTATACAATTTCAGTATTTATTTTAAAAAATGTATATACATACCCTTGTCCTAGGATCATGTTGAAAGCCAGCAGAACCCAAGGTAGGTACATCGCCTGAAAACAAACCAGAAAACTCTTCCATCATAAGTACTAATCTACATTAAAAACTTTAAACTAACTGATGACTTACATGTCTTATACAAACAAACTGATGACTTACATGTCTTATACAAACTAACTGATGACTTACATGTCTTATACAAACTAACTGATGACTTACATGTCTTATACAAACTAACTGATGACTTACATGTCTTATACAAACTAACTGATGACTTACATGTCTTATACAAACTAACTGATGACTTACATGTCTTATACAAACTAACTGATGACTTACATGTCTTATACAAACTAACTGATGACTTACATGTCTTATACAAACTAACTGATGACTTACATGTCTTATACAAACTAACTGATGACTTACATGTCTTATACAAACTAACTGATGACTTACATGTCTTATACAAACTAACTGATGACTTACATGTCTTATACAAACTAACTGATGACTTACATGTCTTATACAAACTAACTGATGACTTACATGTCTTATACAAACTAACTGATGACTTACATGTCTTATACAAACTAACTGATGACTTACATGTCTTATACAAACTAACTGATGACTTACATGTCTTATACAAACTAACTGATGACTTACATGTCTTATACAAACTAACTGATGACTTACATGTCTTATACAAACTAACTGATGACTTACATGTCTTATACAAACTAACTGATGACTTACATGTCTTATACAAACTAACTGATGACTTACATGTCTTATACAAACTAACTGATGACTTACATGTCTTATACAAACTAACTGATGACTTACATGTCTTATACAAACTAACTGATGACTTACATGTCTTATACAAACTAACTGATGACTTACATGTCTTATACAAACTAACTGATGACTTACATGTCTTATACAAACTAACTGATGACTTACATGTCTTATACAAACTAACTGATGACTTACATGTCTTATACAAACTAACTGATGACTTACATGTCTTATACAAACTAACTGATGACTTACATGTCTTATACAAACTAACTGATGACTTACATGTCTTATACAAACTAACTGATGACTTACATGTCTTATACAAACTAACTGATGACTTACATGTCTTATACAAACTAACTGATGACTTACATGTCTTATACAAACTAACTGATGACTTACATGTCTTATACAAACTAACTGATGACTTACATGTCTTATACAAACTAACTGATGACTTACATGTCTTATACAAACTAACTGATGACTTACATGTCTTATACAAACTAACTGATGACTTACATGTCTTATACAAACTAACTGATGACTTACATGTCTTATACAAACTAACTGATGACTTACATGTCTTATACAAACTAACTGATGACTTACATGTCTTATACAAACTAACTGATGACTTACATGTCTTATACAAACTAACTGATGACTTACATGTCTTATACAAACTAACTGATGACTTACATGTCTTATACAAACTAACTGATGACTTACATGTCTTATACAAACTAACTGATGACTTACATGTCTTATACAAACTAACTGATGACTTACATGTCTTATACAAACTAACTGATGACTTACATGTCTTATACAAACTAACTGATGACTTACATGTCTTATACAAACTAACTGATGACTTACATGTCTTATACAAACTAACTGATGACTTACATGTCTTATACAAACTAACTGATGACTTACATGTCTTATACAAACTAACTGATGACTTACATGTCTTATACAAACTAACTGATGACTTACATGTCTTATACAAACTAACTGATGACTTACATGTCTTATACAAACTAACTGATGACTTACATGTCTTATACAAACTAACTGATGACTTACATGTCTTATACAAACTAACTGATGACTTACATGTCTTATACAAACTAACTGATGACTTACATGTCTTATACAAACAAACTGCCTGCTCTGTGAGCAAACAAAATATTGTATAATGTCATATTCTAAGCTGCTTTACGCAATAACTTACATGTATTTAGCCTGAGATAAGCCCCTGATGCCAAAACATTATCTCTGACTCCCGGAGAAAAACCACCGACCTACGGCCAGTACCTGGCGACTGCCCCACGTAAGTCTCTTACCCGCGACCCACTGGTGGAGGACTAGTGATAAAAGAATATCAGACGCCTTAACCACTTGGCCACCGCAGCCTCGAAAAGTGGGGTGGTAGACTTATTACAGGACACTGAATAAGCATTTCTTCATATTTCTACTGAACTGCAATGCATACATGTATTACTGGGCTCCTTTTCTGGCCTAAATTTGTTGCAGAATATACATTGTATATATATTATAGTATAAGTGGTGGTTTCAACTGTATAAACACGAGTAGTGTCTTGTTTTGAACTGAGATTCTCCTATAACATAGAGTAATAGAAATTGGGCAAATTTTAAGATAATGGGATTTCTGCCAAATAGGTCCTTTCTCCAAAATATGGAGCTTAGCAAGTATGCTACAGCTATACAGGTTTTTTTGCCACTGAGACAGGAAAATGTCTGCAAGGAACCAGTGAATCTAAAACTTTTGAAATATAATTTTTATTTCATAATATAAAATCAATATAAAATCAACATAAAATAAACGAAAATTTACGAAATTTGAATTCAAGGAATTAATCAAATATACCACACACTTACCTTAAACTGTGTTCCAAACCAGAATTGTACAACTGTGTCCTTGTTAAGCTGACACCACACATACAGAACACTTAGGACCATGGGGTCCATCAACAACTGAAACGAAAAAACAAGATATTAACACTGGTCATTATTTTTTTCTTTTCCGGTCTATAAAACAATGTATCAACCTCAAGAAAAGGCTATAAGGGTTGTACATTTGTTTAATCAACCCTCTTAAAATTATCAAAAATAAGTTTGAAGGTAAACAGTTAATTTTTTTTTCGAGTTTTGTGAAATATTTAAAGATTCTAAAAACATCTTGACAATAATTATTAAATGTATTAATATGTTACACACATTTCTCAAGCAAGAATTGTTACCATAAAAATATACAGGATAATCCATTAAGGATACCTGTACATGTACCACTGCTAGTTCTATAACTGTAACTACGCATTGGATTTGGTTTCTAGCATGGCTATATCATTAACTCATTCAACCTTAAAGACACATTTGAACTCTTCCAATTCAAAGGTTGGAATAGTTCATTATAAAATTTCAGGGTGAATGAGTTAATAATTTCATTTCTGAAAGTTAACAAATTAAAATAACAAGAGGCCCAAGGGCCTTAGCGGTCACCTGAGTTATATCATAGGTACTGGTAGCTTTATTTTATTGTTTAGATGTGATGTGGAAATCAGCATGTAAACTAAGTGAAATACAATACTTGTCATGTCATCAATGGATAAGAATTTGAAAATATTGGTAAATGTTCCCTTTGGGGCCCCGCCCTAGCCCCTGGGGATGGGGCAGGAATCCTAATTTTACAAAGTAAAACTCTCATTTACCCAAGATGATTCTGACTAAGTTTGAGCAATTTTCTGCTGAAAATGGATAAAATATATACCGAAAAGTGTTATTTCCCTATATAAACTATATTAAACGTTAACCCCTCCCCAAGGGAGAACGGATAGCTCGGGGTCCTGATATTTTCAATTTAAATAAAGCCCCTGATGATCTTTCTTTCCACGTAAAGAAAATCACTGTAGTACCTCTGAGTCTGGAGAAGAAGATTTTTGAAATATTGATTAATTTTCCCTTTGGGGCCCCGCCCTGGCCCCAGGGGTCGGGGTAGGAATCTCAATTTTACAATTTGAAACCATCTACCTCCAAGGATAATTCTCACCAAGTAAAAATAATTTCCTACAGAAAGTTGTCAAAATATACCCAAAAGTGTTATTTCCCTATATAAACTATAGTAAACTTTACCCCCTCCCCAAGGGAGAACGGATAGCTCGGGGGTCCTGAAATTTACAATTTAAGTAAAGCCCCTGATGATCTTTCTTTCCACGTAGAGAAAATCACTGTAGTACCTCTGAGTCTGGAGAAGAAGATTTTTGAAATATTGATTAATTTTCCCTTTGGGGCCCCGCCCTGGCCCCAGGGGTCGGGGTAGGAATCTCAATTTTACAATTTGAAACCATCTACCTCCAAGGATAATTCTCACCAAGTAAAAATAATTTCCTACAGAAAGTTGTCAAAATATACCCAAAAGTGTTATTTCCCTATATAAACTATAGTAAACTTTACCCCCTCCCCAAGGGAGAACGGATAGCTCGGGGGTCCTGAAATTTACAATTTAAGTAAAGCCCCTGATGATCTTTCTTTCCACATAGAGAAAATCACTGTAGTACCTCTGAGTCTGGAGAAGAAGATTTTTGAAATATTGATTAATTTTCCCTTTGGGGCCCCGCCCTGGCCCCAGGGGTCGGGGTAGGAATCCCAATTTTACAATTTTGAAGCCTCATCTACCAAGGATGATTCTGACCAAGTTTGAAAAAAATCCATCCACTGGTTCTTGAGAAGAAGTTGAAAATGTAAAAGTTTATGCACGACGGACGACGGACGACGACGGACGAAAAGCGATTGGAATAGGTCACTTGAGCAAAGCTCAGGTGACCTAAAAATCCAAAGCAGTGTTCTGAATATAAAAATGGAACAGGGCTAGACCAGGATTGGAATAATAGACCTAGTCTTCTGATCATTATAATGACATTCTTACCAACTGAGATCAACCTGGCCCATTTCAGTACCCTGTCTACGGGCCTATTGTTTATGTGGAACAACTGGTATGTCCGTTTTTGGGTATAAATCCTGACAGACCTGTAAATGTTTATGCAGGCCTTGCAAGGCTTGCACGAAAGCAGCATAATATTATTGGGTCCGACCTTATTTCGGAAACGAACAACTTTGGTCCAACCGTTTGGACCAGGATAAAAGAAAACGGCCCCAGTGGTGCTAGTAATATCCAAAATGAAATTAAGGGGAGGTAACTGCATGTAAGAAAATAATCCAGTGTTTTGCTTGCAGTGGAACAAGGATCGTTAACCAAGATATATTCTAACTATTCTTAAATCAAACTGTTTGGACTTGGGAGTTATCTAATAAAGCAATGAATACAATCATACATTTAATGAAATCTGATATACTTACAAAGATCTCACCAATAAGTCCAATTATCTGATCACAGCATGTAAGGTAAAACAGGCAATAATATATACATGTATATGCATTTTTAAAAGTAAGTTTCATCCAACTTTTAAGATCCAGTTATGTTGTCAGTTCATGATCGGTCTCACATAGCTTGGCACAGAAAGATATTGGTCAATTTATTCCTATTAAGGTCTCGAATAAAATATATACAACTGAGTATTTTAGTGAAAACTCATTAATATTTCTTAAAAAAAATGTAATCCAACACATTTTATCAATTACCCAAGATTCATTGTGTCTATCCTAAAACTGTAGCATGAAACATTGTCCAATCACAATATTCTGACAACAGGCTCACCACAAGTGCCTGATATATCACAAGTGCCGAGTCGGACACCATCAAAACAGGCTTACAACAAGAGCCTAGTCCGACACAATCAAAACAGGCTCACAACAAGTGCCTAGTCAGACACCATCAAAAAAGGCTCACCACAAGTGCTTAGTCAGACACCATCAAAACAGGCTCACCACAAGTGCTTAGTCAGACACCATCAAAACAGGCTCACAACAAGTGCCTAGACAGACCCCATCAAAACAGGCTCACCACAAGTGCCTAGTCAGACAACATCAAAACAGGCTCACCACAAGTGCTTAGTCAGACACCATCAAAACAGGCTCACCACAAGTGCTTAGTCAGACACCATCAAAACAGGCTCACCACAAGTGTCTAGTCGGACACCATCAAAATTTAAACAGGCTCACCTCAATTAAGTGCCTAGTGATCAGACACCATCAAAACAGGCTCACCACAAGTGCCTAGTCGGACACCATCAAAACAGGCTCACCACAAGTGCCTAGTCAGACACTATCAAAACATCAACCCTTTGGTCACGAGCCCGGCGTCCTACCACTAGACTACTGTGCCCCCTATATCTATATATATCAAAATAGACACACAGTAGCAAGGAAATGGATTAACTGATATTAAACATTTTTATTTTAGCAGCATTCAAGCTAGCTACACCCAACGTCTTTTAAAAGCCAATCTTGTTAGATGTTGAGTTTACAGCAATCTTTATTCTGGTCCTCATATACTCTTACATCTTAACACATATTTGACCCCTGTGACCTTGAATATGGGCGAAGGTCATTCACTTTCACTCTCTGCACCCCTGGAATGTGTCATGACAAAATTGAAGGCTCAGTGTGCGCCACCTTGTGGATGTTGGTCCAAAATGTGATTTCCCTATATAAACTATAGTAAAGTTTACCCCCTCCCCAGGGGAAAACGTGAGACCCCCGGGTCATGAAATTCACAATTTTGATAAAGCACCTTAAGAAGACTAGTTTGATCCTTTGATGTACATCAAAAGAATCCCTCAGTCGCATAACAGTAAAATTGATTGGCTTTCAAGTCAGGTGTCGCTCCTTTATAATCTTCAAAGGACATGTACAAGTATATAGCCTTCGATTGGTAAGAGACCAATCAAATAGCTAGCCGTGTGCCTTCAATTTCGCTATGACATATTCCAGGGGTGCAGAGAGCGAAAGTAAGCATAACTATTGGAGTATCGAGGATGACACTTTAACTGCAAAAGATAACTATTTTTTGTAGGAGCTGAAAAGTTAAAATTTTCAATTCATCATCAATTTGAAGATTGCCCCCATTTGCCAAACAACACACTTACTTCAATCAATTTCAAATGAAATGTTCAAGAGACTCGTGGCCTACTGGGAGCTGTATAGCAGTGAAAGGCCTCCGGAATGTCATGGTCTTCTTGCGATTTTTCAGATGGTCTTTTTGTGATTTTTAAGGGATGCATATAGCAGCTCTAGTGAAAGGCCTTGAAAACTGGTCTTGTGATTTTTAATTCAGTTTTGTTATTCATAAAATCATTATTTCCACATTTTTATGTGTGTAAAATATTCACGTTAATATCGAGCAAACCGATGACAAAGGATACAACCAAAGATAACCAGTTGAAGAGCAGCATGAAGAGGTATTCTGCAGGCTTTCCATCGAAGATACCTGATGAAGGTAAACAGAACTGATATCACAGAACATAAGACATATTTTGTATCATGATGTCATGAATTGAATAGCAAAGAGCAGTTGGACACTGAGCCTTGGAAGCTTAAATCATCTTTGAATCCAGTGGTAAGGTCAAAATTATGATATTGTATCAATGTAATATATTACAATCATCATACGATAATTAGCATGAAAAACAGTTTTTAAGTTTAGATAAATATGTATATAGGATCAATTTTGCCTGCCTGACTCACATACTAGAATATTAAGTGAAGGATATGGGTTTGAATTTACTGATTGATTGAGTGGCTTTACGTTCGCTTCACTACCGAAAAGTTTGATTATCAGAATATCTAGAAGATGAATATAGGATTTACTACTAAGATGGACTGGTTTATATACCATGTACAAAATTACATACATACCTGTCTCCAAGCGTGTTGAGTACGAATATAAGAAATATAGATTTATTAGGTAATGAAATCCATTTCCTCCCGATATAGGATAGAACAGCACAGATGTTAAGGGTCTCCAAAACTAGAAAAGAAAACAAGTCAACACTTCATACAAATACACATATACCAGGTAGATCCGTCTGAATCTATTCAAATCTGGATGAAGTTTGTAACTGATCATGAAGATCAACAATTCTTTATTATTGTCTCTGATTGGATTTAATTAGAATATAGTAGTTTTAAGTCACAAATTAGGTCTTCTTAGTCTTCCTTATCATAAAATAAAAATATTTGTCTTGTTTTTAAACGAGTGTGACAAACGCCAGCTGTGAAAAGCTGACTCCGCTCTACACTCTACATGAAATATACCTAACACCAATATAGAAAGTCATCAATAAGTTTATTTGATATATTTAAATATTTATTATTATATTAACTATAAATTGATAAGAAATATTTAGGGCGAAACAACCTAGGACAAACGGGATTTAGGACGAAACAACCCTTAGCGCGAACGGGATTTAGGGCGAAACAACCGGCTACTCTTATAAAGTTGCATCACTCTCCATCACTCAATGAAAACAAAAATAAATGAAATTGTTTTGATATTACACTTGATCTATTCCCTTCCATTCTAATTCAGTTTGCTTAAAGGACCATTAATCAGCAAAATATATTGACAATACTGTCAGTGTTCATTCAAATCAATGAAATAACTAGTATTTACCTGAAATTTATACACAACTGACTCAAAATGCAGAAATAGCCACATCGGATTCAAGATGCCAAATCGGGCCAATATTGGCACCACTACGGATCCAGTAAACCAATACTTTGTCAAAAAGGGAATCCCCCTATACCAATCGCCAATATCGTTTGAAGCCATGTTTGATTTTTAGATCAATGTCGAAAACATGCAACAAAATCTTTTCCCTGACGTGTTACCAGCAAACCGGAAGTTTAAAACTGCTGACTAAATTTTACTTTTGTATCAGTTACATCCGGATCCACTTTCACTTTCACAAAATATAATAATAATAATAATTCTTTAAATATGAAATTACAAATGCAAAAATACGATAAAAAACATTCAATTTCTTATTCATATCCTAGCACATTAGGCCTAATAACCAATTTGTTTTTATCAAAAACGTCAAAAATGAATAACGCGTCCCAGTACATAACGAAACGAAACGCATCAAAAGATATTTTTTTTATAATTATTTTTAAGCTCAGAACAAATGTTCGAAAACACATATTTCATCAATATTTTAAATAAAACAACCAATTAAAACACTAACATTCCTATTAACTCACAGAAGATATTGTTTCGTTCCAAATGTTGATTCGTAATTTTACCTTACTCTGGCGTCAAAATTGAAAACATGTCCGATCCCGCATCACATGTAAACACTGGGAAGTCTCGTTGAACTATGACATTTATGGAGAACAGACTGAGGTAGAACTTTCTTTTATTACTGAGATCGTCAAGAAAGTGCATTTTGCCAGCGTATATGATATATGTTCAGGTATGTCACTGTAATTAAAGTGTCGTGCAGCAAATCCTCCACTGACAGATCTACAGTAGAACTGTTACTGTGTGTTGTCGGCATCATCATGTACATGGATAGTTCACGTACTTGGATTAAATTCTCTCCTTGATTGTGCCAATTATTTAAATTCTACATGAGAGAGAGAGTTTTTGCTTGTGAAATAAAAAGGATTATTGATTATATTTGATGTAGTTAATATTGTCCAACTTGATTTTGGAGGTTCTAGATTCAATTGTATCTGGGTCGTTTCACCCTAAATCCTGTTTGCCCTACACGGGTCGCGATCATAATTCCCCCTTATATATATATATATATAAATTCAGTTCACCAAAGCTTGTTTCACCCTAAAATTATATCCTTTGAAGTTATGAAAATCAGTTGAAACATTTTTAGGGCGAAACAGCTTAGTGCCAAACGACCCAGGGCGAACAAAATTTAGGACGAAACGACCTTACACAGCTCCACCGATTCAAAGCCTGGTCTTATCCTGATACATTTATTCCTCTCCAATTACAGTGGTGTCAAGGGGATAAACAACATGGGCTGTATACTAATAGAATCTTCCCTTACCTTGAGGGTCAGGGTGTGACAAAGAAATCTCCAACCCGAGGAGTGATGTTTTTTGGTTGTCTAACCCGAGGCTCTGCCGAGGGTAAGACAACCAAAAAAATCACCCGAGGGTTGGAAAATTCTCTGTTACACCCTGCAAGGTAGGGATAACTATTTTTCTCCCATCCTATTATTTCAGTCACAGCTCCATCGACAGTAGTCTGCCATGTTTGTAAACAAAAACGCATGTGGGGTATGCATATCGTCATTCACTGTTAATGACATCACGATTACCGATGACACATTTTAATGACGTCACAATTGAACACGTGCTAATCGGCACGAGGTTTTCTCCCCCTAGGGGGTGACAAGCTGATCTTTCCCGGCTAAAACGGGAGACACGACATGTGAAGGGTTGGAGAAAGTATTGTCTTCGGGCATGGAGATTAAGAAAAATAAGCAAGGGAGATGTGTATATATATATATAGTGTGTGCCTTGGTCAGATGACATGGAGATATATAGCTCAGTTTATTAGTGTCTAGTTATAGTTCAGAGGTCCCGATTTTGAATCCTTCAAGTCTAGACCTGGTCCAGTTGTATTTATGCATCCTATAATTGTTCAATGATCATTACCTTATTTTTGTTCTATACTTTATATATAATATAAATGATCATGACTGTCAACAAGTAAAATATCAAGCATGTTGAATAAAATGGAATCTGACGAAATAAATAAAATGGAAGAAAACAAGACAAGGATAAAGTACATATAATTAATTATAAGGTAACAGTGCACGTGGTACTGATGATCAACATCTCAGATGTTTGGACATGTACAGACTTACAAATAATTACTTCATGATCAGAAGCTTATATAGTTATTTAGCCACTGATGAAGCAGTAGACCAGATTCAACATTAACATGGAGACTGCTGGTACATACTATCCGCTCAATTTGTTTTGAAGTAGGAAATACTTGTGATAATGAGAAATGCACAGAGTCAAAAAAAAATATGCTCTGACATGCAGGTGACATATCTATAGTACATTTGTAACTCAATTTTATAATTCCAGATCTGTGTCAGAATGAGGATGGTATATGTACATGTACACAGGAGACTGACATAACGGACAACAGATATCACTTCTACAGGTTTGGGTGATTTAGTGACATCATACACGATGCAGTCACTTGATGTAGCTCATAAGGCTAATGGGAAAATCTGGCATCGTAAGCCCACACCATCAGCTGATAATGGGTAAGCGTGATACAGTAATGTTTTTAGGATTTTTAGCTCACCTGGCACGAAGTGCCAAGTGAGCTTATGCCGTGGCGCGTCCGTCCGGCGTCAATATTTTACTTAAACGACTTCTTCTTAATAACCGAAAGGCCCAGGAGTTGATATTCGGCCAGTAGCATGCTTGGTTGAAGGGCTACAAAATTTGTTAAAATTAATGACCTTCACCTATTTTCAAGGTCACAGGGGTCAAATATGTCAAAAACTTTAAACATCTTCTTCTGAATAACCAAAATGCCCAAGGTGATGATATTTGGCCAGTAGCTAGCTGAGATGAAGGGCTACAAGTTTGTTCAAATGAATGACCTTCAAGCATATTCAAGGTCACAGGGGTCAAATATGTTTAAAAACTCTAAACAACTTCTCCTGAATAACCAAAATACCCAGGGTAATGATATTTGGCCAGTAGCTAGCTGAGATAAAGGGCTACAAAGTTTGTTCAAATGAATTACCTTTACCCATATTCAAGGTCACAGGGGTCAAATATGTTTAAAACTTTAAACAACTTCTTCTGAATAACCAAAATGCCCATGGCGATGATATTTGGCCAGTAGCTAGCTGAGATGAAGGGCTACAAGTTTGTTCAAATAAATGACCTACACCCATATTCAAGGTCACAGGGGTCGAATATGTTAAAATCTTTAAACAACTTCTCAATAACGAAAATGCCAAGGGTGATGATATTTGGCCAGTAGCATGCTCAGATGAAGGGCTACAAAGTTTGTTCAAATGAATGACCTTTACCCATATTCAAGGTCACAGGGGTCAAATATGTCAAAAACTTTAAACAACTTCTTCTCAATAACCAACATGCCCAAGGTGATGATATTTGGCCAGTAGCTAGCTGAGATGATGGGCTACGAAGTTTGTTCAAATGAATGACCTTCAAGCATATTCAAGGTCACAGGGGTCAAATATGTTAGACACTTTAAACAATTCTTCTGAATAAACAAAATACCCAGGGTAATAATATTTGGCAAGTAGCATGCTGAGATTAAGGGCTACAAAGTTTGTTCAAATAAATGACCTTCATCTATATTCAAGGTCACAGGGGTCAAATATGTGAAAAACATTCAACAACTTCTTCTGAATAACCAAAATGCCCAGGGTGATGATATTTGGCCAGTAGCATGCTGAGATGAAGGGCTACCAAGTTTGTATTAATGTATGACCTTAAATCATATTCAAGGTCACAAGGAGCAAATATGTTCAAAATATTTCAACAACTTGTTCTGAATAACCAAAAGGCTCAGGATGTTGATATTTAGGCAGTAGCATATGCTGGGATCGAGGACTACTTTGTTTGTTAAAGTGAATGACACAGGAGTCATTTTTTTTTAAATCTTTAAACAACCTCTTCTGAATAACCATGGGTCCCAGGATGTTTATACTTTGCAAGTTGCATCCTGAGATGAAAGGCTATACAATGTGTTCAACATAATGACTTTGTTCGACTTTTAATCACAGGGTTGAAAGGTTAAAAAAATAAATAACAGGGTCTTTTGAATGAATTTTAATCATAAATACTGATATTTTTCCTGTAGCTTTATTTTAGATCACTTTTAAGGTTACAAGTGTGAGTTTTATACCAGGTGAGCGATGCAGGCCCATTGGGCCTCTTGTTTTAAGTCCTGACCATAATTTTTTTTAAGATGTTAAATGGTCCCATTACTAAGGCAAAAGTTACACTTTGCATAGTCGGATTTTCGCCATCTGGGTGAGATCCGATTGGAAAATCAATATTCCAGACCTCAGATATTTATAATCTGTGTCCCAAAAGTCATAGCACTATATATAAGTAAAATTACATGTTCATGTTATGTTTTGTAGACATTTCATCCCTCGATCCCAATCATATTATTCTCAAGTGTTCTATGTGAATCATAATTGATTCTCATAAGTAAAAACATGGTGTCTATGTTTTTACTACAGCTCAAAGAGAAACCCGCTTTACACTGTACAGAGTACATACTTTCACAATGCATGGCAGCAAATTTAATGCAACACACGATCGCAAGGGTACCAGAAAACATATTGTCTTCATATTCACAGTTATAACCTAGGTACTGCCTACTGGATAACACGAAATGTTCTTGGATACTTTCCTTCGTGGTTTGAAGCTATTTAGATCATTTCGTGGTACAAACTTTCATGGATATCCTATATTAACAAACAGTAGGCATGCATATGTATATCATTCAAATTTGTTGTATTTATTTTCGTGGTTCAATAGCAACCACGAAAACCAAGAATATTTATACACAACGAATATTTCATGTTTTACAGTATAGTATTGCTTTGATCCATATAGGTTGATGGTCAGCATCAATCATAGTCAGGCTGGGGGCCTTTCCCAGTCCAGCCGGAATGTCCGATTTCTTCATACTGCGTTTGACGGCCAAACGGAAACCTTTGTGGCCGGGGATCACCAAGGCAATGTCTACATATTTGACCTCAACAAAAACAGGTAAGATAGATTTTCTTTGGTGTTGTTTTGTTATGATTAATAAATTTATCAATGTTTAGTCATTTTACTTACAATGTATACATATGTTGTTTTATTAACACCAGTCTTTATATGAATGTGTAATTATATTTAAATGTATTGGAAAATATAAATTAAACATAATCATATGAAAGTGTTTTTTTTAAATATTGCGCATATTTCCTTTGACATAGTGCAGGTTATTATAATACATACCATTCACTGTTTATTGGTACTTAAGTTTGTATTAAAATATTAAAGATATATATATTTTTGTAGATTTTTCCTCGGACAGAAGACGGGACACCCCTGTACTGCTGTAGCGTTCAATCTCCGTCGGAAGTCAGAGTTTCTTGTCGGCCTGTCAGATTACTCCCTCAAGTGCTTTGACTCAGGTGGGTACTGCCGTGCATATATAGAGCTGTCACGATACACTTTACCCACGATTCGATACATATCTCTATATTTGTACCACGATTCGATTATTTCGATTCAATACACCTTTATTTTAAAATATAAACAAAATGAGATATATAAGCCGTTGATACACGGGAACCCAAAGTGTTTCCACACTTTTGATTTGAAGCTTGCCAGAGCATCACAAATTTTCATTTCCTTACCGGGGTCCGCCATTTTGTTATGAATACTTTGTGAAAATTGTATCATCACAGCCGATTGGCTGAGGGTTTAGAGATCAGCCAATGAAATTGAAAGTCTCACAGACGTTTCGGCTGAAGCGGCGTACATTAATATTCAGATCGTGACGTAACGAAAATCCAGAAAAATATATCGTGAATCGATTCGAACATAAATAATCGCGGTACAAGTGCATCGCGGTGAATCGTGGTGCCTCTATTGTCCAACCTTCCTAACTTTAGTGACTTGAAGGTATATAGCAGTCGCTTTGTTTGGTTGACTGTACGTTAGCTAGTGTTAAAGTGCATTCATGAACACCTAAATCAGTACATATATTGCTTCTGATTGACTTGAGATTTTGTTATGAAACATTATAGGTTAGCCTGTCCATGACCAGATGGTGTGTTGCATTAGAGTATTAGCTTCTTAACTTCTTTCCACAAATGTCAAGATCACGCCAGGGGGTCAAAAATCAAGCAATGTTTGTACGGATGATAAATTTCTGATCACTGCAAGATATTGTTACTTATGAAACTTCATAGACGTTCATGTATGTAATGCATGCCAAGTGCCAAAATAAAAAGGTCAAATTGAGGGTCAAAGGTTATCGACTTCTGATTGCCACAAGATCTCATTATGAAAAATCAAAGATGCACATATCATGACTAGATGGCATGTGCTGTAACATTCTCAGGGCTGTGCCTCAAAGGTCAAGGTCAAGACAATGGTTCAAAGGTCAAGTCAGTGAAATGTTTGAACAGTAACTTTTGATCACCGATGTTATGAAACTCCATAGATGTGCATTGTTATGACTAGATGGTGCCTCATGTAATATCCAAGACCCATATTCCAATGGGTAACATGAGGGGTCAGAGTTCAAGTAATTGTACTGTTTGTTTGACCCATGGGCCAGGGATACTCACTTGTTTATATATTGTTTTACAGCAATTTTTGTTTGTTTCAATAGATAATTTATGTGAATATTATTGTTTGTATTTTCTACAGATACTAAGGAAATGGTGGCCTGGATGAAAGGTCATGAGTCTGCAATCCGAGACATTTCTGTACACGCCTCGGGACGATATGCCCTAACCACCTCAACAGACACCGCCCAACTGTGGGATCTCGACACTTTCCAACGTAAACGCAAACTGAACATAAAGGAAGATGTTGGCATAGTCCAGGTTTGTGTGCTACAAAAATACATCCTTCTTTAGAAGGGTTCCAAAGGATCTAGTATGTGCCTTTTGATTCTTTAGGGTACCACAGGATCTGGTAATGGGCCTATTGCTTCTTTAGGGTTCCACAGGATCTGGTAATGGGCCTATTGCTTCTTTAGGGTTCCACAGGATCTAGTAATGGGCCTATTGCTTCATTAGGGTTCCACAGGATCTAGTAATGTGCCTATTCCTTCTTTAGGGTCCCACAGGATCTAGATCTAGTAATGGGCCTATTCACAGTGGAATATATGCCTTGGACAAAATTGCTGAAACATCACTTCAATCCATATCTGAGAAACTGTCAAACATCACTGTCAACATTTGTCTTTTACTTTGATATTTTTTCCACATTTATTTTCTTTCCATTAGTAAACTGCTTGGAATGTTTGATAGAAAGTCCAAAACTAGGGGCAAGGAAAAACCTTGTTCACTTGCCAATGGCAAAATCCAGTCTTCAAGACGAGTGGAGTAGTGCTTTTCCCTGCCCATGAAGATGTGATGAAAATCGCAATCATTCCTTACCCTAATCATAGAACTGCCAGATGCATCACTTTGTGCTAATGTATAAAAGCAGCCATATTTATGATCAGTTAAAGAGATGTCAGTAAAATAATCAATTTAAGGGATTTAAGGGATATTAGTGAAAATTATCTGTAAGAAATTTATTATACAAAAGAAATGTGACAGGACAAACCATTGTGATGCATTATGGGAATTATTTCATGTTGTAGGTGTTCTTTTTACCTCTGAGCAATGTAATCATAACTGGCTTCAAGGACGACACGATATTTGCCTGGGAGTCGGACACGTTGAACTGTAAATACCAGTTACCGGTGCCCCCTGGCAAGAGTCCACATTACCGAGCCTTCACATCTACCAAGTAAGTCAATGACTAGGTGAGGGTTATGACTCCTCGTAAATGGGTCTAGTTACGCATGTGTCATACCTCAAAACAGGATACTGTCAAAGTGCTTCTTTTTGTGGTTTCTCATTTTCATGGATTTGCTAAAATGGTCAATTTCACAGGATCTGATTTTTGCAGATTTCAGGTTTACTTCAGAGCTGTGATAAGTAAGGATGGATTACTTTGCTAATTATTAACCTTAAATTTGTGGATTTCATGGAAAATTTGAATCTTGCAAAATACAACAACTTTTACAATATTAAGATAATGTGTCTTCATCTGAGGTCAATACTTGGTTGAAAGATTGTTGTGTACACATATTTTAGTAGCTTGTACTATATGTTTATATATATATACTGATTTTTATGAAGAACAAAATGGATATAAAGTAGAAAGCAAAAACGAATTTGCTTTTTTTGGTCCATTTTCAGCAAAAACTTTAATGAAGCGATGAAGCAAATATTAGAATTTTATTATAAATTGTGGTACAGTATTGTGGATTTTTTTTTTTTGCATTTTGCATTTTGAAAAATCGCTATTTTTGAGGACATTATTTTATGGAAAAATGAGTCTAAAGATTTAATTTTCATCATGAACATATCCTTACAAGATGTGATTATCCATTGTGAAGGTCAACAATTAAAATTTATGATTACATCATATTTTGACATTTACAGTTATCGAAGTTTGTATTAGTGATATCTTAGATAAATACCAAAATTATGTCATTTTGAGTTTTTGAGTGTTGACGATCAAATATAGTGCAAGTTCACTTATAATAGGTACAAGTTTAGCATGAATCTCTGTACAGTAGCTACAAATGTTTCAAATGTTTCAAACAGATTTTAATATTCATAACACGATTGACTCGTACATTTGCAAAAATGTAGCATGCTTTATTAATTGTTTATTTTTATTTTCATTCTTTAATCAGGGATGGACGGATTCTAGCAGCAGGAGGAAAGTCCCGATTCATCCATCTCTGGGACCTGGACACCCACAGACTTCTACGCATCGTGGAGCTGCCGGTCAAGGTGACTGCCGTCCGTCAAATGGTCTTCCTCCCAGACAACTTTGATGCTGGAGCTAATCAGGTTTGTTGTTTACTTAGAAATTGTGTGTGTTACACTGCTTTAAGAACTATCGTGAATAGAGTTATGCTACAATACAACGTGTCAATACTCTCCTGGTTGTGTTGAATAAACTGTACAATTTTTTTTTGTGTGGTCCTGAACTTTTCGGCGGATCTTTTTTTTGCCAATTTCAGGTCTAGTGGCAATGACATAATGTATTTCAGTACAGATGAATTAGTTTGTCATTAATTTCACAGGATGTTTTAACTTTTATGCATGGAAAAAATGCTAATGTGAAATTGCAAAAAATTGAAATAGCCGAATGAATTAATGCAATCATTATCCAGAGTGTTGGACTTGTTTTGGTCACATGTTACCCAGATTTTGATGTTATTTGTGTTTTCTCCAGGTCCTGGGTGTTCTCAATCAAGATGGTATTGTACGTTTCATCAACATCAACACATGCAAGTTATTATTTGATGTGGGAAGTATAGAAAACAAGATCAATAACATCAATGTGAGTTCATCAGGCCGCCACTTAGCAGCAGCCATGGAGGACGGATGTCTGAATGTGTTTAACCTACATGCAATGTCGTCTGAACTCAACAAAGTAAGCTTGTATGTTATGTATAAACTATATCAAGTTTACTCGCTGAACTCAACAGGGTGAGCTCACTACATTATGTATAAACTTTATCAAGTTTACTATCTGAGCTCAACAAAGTAAGCTTACTACATAGTGTATAAACAATATTAAGTTTACTCTCGGAGCTCAACAGAGTAAGTCTATAGCTACTCAATTGTGTATTAAATATACTAAGTTCACTCTCGGAGCTCAACAAAGTGAGCTTACTACATTGTGTATGAACAATATTAAGTTTAATCTAGGAGCTCAGCAAAGTAAGTCTGTAGCTACTAAATTGTGTATTAAATATACTAAGTTCACTCTCTGAGCTCAACAAAGTGAGCTTACTACATTGTGTATGAACAATATTAAGTTTAATCTAGGAGCTCAGCAAAGTAAGTCTATAGCTACTAAATTGTGTATTAAATATACTAAGTTCAGTCTCTGAGCTCAACAAAGTGAGCTTATTACATTGTGAATAAACAATATTAAGTCTACTGTCTGAACTAAATATTGTCCGTCGTGTATTAGGAAACTTAATAAATCTGTTGAGTATATTGGCAACTTTTGTTTATCATATACTGGTTGGACCAGAGTTGATCGTTTATGAAATAGGGACGGACCTAGTGATTTTGATGTTGTTTTTCTGGTGAGACTTTTTTAAAACAATTAGGCAAACTGGTTGGTTTGCATTAACCAACAGGCCCATTGTTTATGTAAAATGTCTTCATTCTTTTGTGTTACCCCTTAATATAAGTAGTTTGCGAAAATATGATAACGACGATTTGTCTTAATTTTTACAGCAAGGTTACGGGGATACCAGCATCTTAGCTGGTCATTGATTTACACATACCCTGCAACGCTCCTTGATGCATTGTTATTGTATTTTTCAGCCACCTGCTCCGTTAGTGAAGGTCGTCTCTGGTAACAAAATGGCCGACACCTCCACCAAATCCATACTGAAACGCAAGGGTAAAGGTCGCGCAGGGGGAAAGGAGAATAAGATGGCTGGTGAGCTCAAAGAGGTAGGTTGTCCATTGTACATGTATTACATACAATAATAAAGGAATCTCAACACCACAAGGACATATTATGTTATTTACTGTCTAAATGTTTCGGCCTGCTATGCAGCCTCATCAGGACAAAGGCAGCTAAAGCCTAATGTACAGTTATGACGTAAGTAGTGTTTAACAGTTCATCCTGTTGTTTCTGGGGTCTCGCTATCGGTGGCCAAGTGGTTTAGACGTCTGACATTCATCTACCACTAGCCCACCACCGGGTCACGGGTTCTAGACCGACGTGGGGCAGTCAAGCCAGGTACTGGCCGTAGGTCGGTAGTTTTTCTCCAGAAAATCCGGCTTTCCTCTACCACCAAAACCTGGCACATCCCTAAATGACCATAGCTGTTTATAGGACGTAAAACACAAACAAACCATACCAAACTGTTGTTTCTGGAATATTTCGTATATGGCTGAATGGTTCGATTGGTATAGCAAGCCAAAACATGTAGACAGCAAATAACACAAAACGTCATTGTTGAGATTCCTTTATTCATTTACTATGTTTATTAGTTAGGAACTCTATAGAGTCCACTTTGGATCCGGACTAGGACGTTACCGCAAAGTTCTACATAAGGAGTGTAGGATCACCAATTATTTGTTATGTATTACAAAAGTAGGAATGATACATCTTGTAATGTGTTCAAACTTAAATGTAGACTCATATATGGACACTCATCATGGAAAAAACACTGCAGATCTATCAGAGATGTTTTCATCATGATTCAATGACATGTATTGAAGTGAGAGGAAAATGTTATCTGTAAAATTACTTTTCTTCGTTCAGTATCACAAATCTTTTCTGATTACAAATTTGTCACGATGTCAAGCACTAAATATGAAAGTTTTCTTTGTCAAGATCTGGTCTATTAAAATTTTGGTATGTCTTTAAGAAAGCTGTATCACATAGACCTAAGTCTTTAGTGTCTAATATTCCAGATTTCCAAGACCTTTTTGACAGTAAATTTGTATCATGCTTCACAGTTCATATTGATTAACCAAGCCTTTTTATGCCTTTTCAAATACAAAGTTATTGTAAAGTATTTATATTTCACGAGGAATATTTTTGTATTTATTGACAATGAAAGTTTATTACAAAATTTCTCAAACATAAACTTAGTCAGACCTTGTTAACAAAGTGATGTGAACATGCTATTGTTTGTTTTGTGAAATAAAACCCTTGTTAGTCATGGTTTTAAGCACAACCATGAAGATCATATGATTTACAGTATTAAAAAGTCAAGGGATTTTACTTACCTGGTACAGAACTGAGAAGCCTTTGCTTAATATCACTTCTCATTTGTCAAAGGAAAACATGATATTAACAGGAGCATGACATTAAGAGAAACCATGCTATTAACTGGAGCATGACATTAAGAGAAAACACGAATTTAACCTGAGCATGACATTAAGAGAAAACATTGTATTAACCAGAGCATGACATTAAGAGAAAACATTATATTAACAGGAGCATGCCATTAAGAGAAAACATTATATTAACAGGAGCATGCCATTAAGAGATAACATTATATTAACCGGAGCATGACATTAAGAGAAAACATGTTTTTCTGACCATTCCAGATGTCAAAACTAGGAAGTGACCATATTTAAATGTCCAAGTGATATATTTTACAAAAAAGATAAATAAAATTAAAAAAATGTAACTGACACTGCTTTTTCTCTATTAACAGTAAAATGAGATTCTTTTATTTATTTCATTTAATACGCAGCTATAACACTTGTTAAATTCCATTTGTGCTCTACGATTGTACATGATCAAAGAGGTCTAGATCGACATGTAGCTGTCGTCGGCTGCTAGTCTATATTCTGTTCCGAATTCAGTCGTAAAGAAATTGAATGTCATGTTGGTACAAATTTACCTTAATCTTTTTCAATGTAACACTAACTCTAGCCCAAGGAGTAGTGATCATGAAGCAACTAACCTAACTGGTCCTTTAGACTTATACAAAAATATATGTTATCACAAATCATTTGATAGAAGAATTATAAAAATAGGACATTCCTTTTTCGAAACACAAAATTGAATTTATTGCATGATAATCTTTAAAGAATTCTTAAAACTTCATCATATCTTTATGACAGTAGTGATTTTTTGTCCTTCCAGTCAATTAGTTTTGCTATTTTGAGCCAGAGATGTTTTTGAATGAATTATTGGACTAGTACCATTGACTTGGGACTAAAAAGGGTCTCTTCAACTAGTCCTGTGTACTACCAAGCATACAGTGGATTATACTTAAATCACTTTTTGGGTTTTTTCCCCAATTTGATCGAAAGAATCCCTGTTGAAAAAACATTATAATTATTTCCTAATTAGATGCATACCACAGAATTAATTATACAAATCATAAAAAAGGACCCATTAACAACAACAGATTCTGAGAAAATGGTGACAGTGTTTTACGCTATTAGTTATTCCTGTAAAAATAATAAAGCACGCAGCAATACCAAAAATATATAATAATAAAAAATCCCAAAATTTTGATTTGTAGATACATGTATCAGCATCTGACTCTTGAGTTTTCTCCCATTTCAGATTGAGATTCCAGAGAGATTAAACATGGAAAGGTTGACAGCCATACTGAAGGGGTACGGAGAATACCCGAGCAAATACCGTATGTTTATCTGGCGATCAGTGCTACGGCTTCCGGAGAACCACACTGCTTATGCAGCCCTCGTAGACAAAGGCACGCACCCCTCATATGTCAATCTACAGGAGGACTATCCCATAAAGAGTAGGAAGCTCCTCAGAGTCCTACAAAGGTAGGTTCAGGTCATGTGACCCTTGTAGATCCTTAAGAAGGGCCAATGAACCCGTCTTCCTCAATAAAATTCCCTATCTTACATTAAACACATGAGGCTCCCCTATCTTATAGTGCTATATCAGGCTGTACAGTTAAGGATCCTCGTACCACTAGGAACAATGTAACAATGAAATGGATTTTTTTTTAACTTATTCACCCCTGAAGACACATTTGAACTCTTCCAATTCAAAGGTTGGAATAGTTCATTATGAAATTGCAGGGGTGAAGGAGTTAGTGGCATGACGAAAGATTTAAAAATATTTTTTTGAAAAGAACACCATACTAAGGGCATATTTTATTGAGGGGGAAAAAGGTTTTTTTTTTTTTTTTTTACCCAGCTGTGGTGTTGTTGTTCATCTGTTCTTTTTTTTAAGTTTTGTGAAAGTTTAAGAAATAAAATTGGACTAGAAAAGGAATTGAGCCCTGGGCTTTCAGTCACATCATGCTCTAACCAGCTGAGTTTCCTAAACAAGGGGTAGTGTAACCTGTCCAAGTCCTGCCAAAGTTACATCCAAATCAAAATTAAGGAAAGGTTGCTGTTTGTACAAAGTCTCTAGTGTTTCGCTAGCAGTGAGACGGGGATCTTTCAATACTCCCAGTAACTATATCATGTCTGATTATTTTGTGTTTTTGTTATTTTCAGGATCCTGTCGGCACTTTCCCATTGGTCCCCGATTTTCGGAGAAACTCAGTATCTGCCAGTGCTCGCTTTCCCATTCGTCAAGCTCTTCCAGAACAACCATCTAGTCTGTTTTGAAATCATTGCTACTATCATGGGTAAGTAGAAATGGAGTACGCTGTAAAATCACACTGGAATTTCATACTTGAAGTATTACTTTTTGTCACTTAAAACATTTAAAGAAAGAAAATAAAATAGTTTTTCTTGTTTCAAATTCTGGGACAATAGATCTAAAGCAGCTCTAGTCCTTCATCAAACTTACACGATTAAGGACAGAGAAATATTTTAACATCAAGATAGATAGATATTTTCAGCAGTAAAATACAGAAAATTATTGTTGAAATAAATAAAGACTATTGATTTCTCTTCAGGTTAGGTTGAAGCTAGATAAAATCTTCTTTGAGATATTTGCACTGTGATGCAGTCATCAATGGATAAAATACAAAAGACAAAAGTTATAAACAGCTTATACCTGGTGCAGTCTGTAGCAGTCCTGTGAAGTTCAATGTAAGTTTATACAGTAAAACAAATGATAGTAACAAGGTTTATGTTACTGTATTACAGAAAACTGGGCAGAACATTGGTTTGAATACTTTCCCAACCCTCCGATCAACATCCTAAGTTTGATAGAGAATGTGCTAGCTCACCATGACAAGTATCTGCTGCAACACTTCGTCAAGTACAGCGTAACGTCACAGGTAAGTGTCAATTTCACCTTGTTAATTGTCTACTGTGTTTATTCATATATATATCTTCAACTCCCAAACATGAACAGTTGTATGATACACATACTTCAAATAAATACTTAATATCAGAAATATAATACAGTTACGAAATATAGTGCATTGTCCAGTGAGAAATTTAAGCTGACTGAAGAATGCATTCTGGTACACTGAAAAAGATGCATTGCCTTTATCCAGTATGAGACAAAATATTAATTACTATGAATTTCACTGGAAGTAAGAGAGGAGGCTTTCTCCACAAAATCACAAAAGTCTCTTACAGAAGACAAGAAATGAACATTGTTTCTCCAAATATATCTTAAATGAAATCAGTTGGACAATTCAAGAACATGGCAATTTGAGTGTTCCAACACACCTGGCCAAGATATATATATACTGTAGGCATGAAAAGGATAGTCATTGATAGGTTTGGAGAAGATGATGATGTCACATAAATCTAAAATTGTAAAACTTTTTAGATCTTGCTGTCAGGAAAATTGCATGAACTGTAATTGACCTAATAAGGGCACTTGCTTTAATGAAGTAACCCGCTGGGATTTTACACGAGTATAAAATGCTTATTGCAAAATTTCATTTTTTTTCATTTCTGGATTTTTTTGGTCATCGTGTTGCATGGTTTAGCTTGTTCGACAGCTTCAGCCACCAAAACAGCACTGTTATAAATCAAGATGATAAAAACAGAGCTGCCATGTAATTATAACATGACCATATCCGCCGTAATTAGTACCAAGTGCTCTTAAAAAATAGCTTTTAGAGGAATGCTTATATTATTACGGTTATAAGATGCGAGTTATAAGAGAAAAAGTGGTGCAAAAAAAGGGGAAGGACACTAATTATGGCAAATATGGTATATTATCTGTTGATGATAGGCCTAGGGCTGTCAAAATACACTTGTAGTGTATCCCAATATATGTTGCAATATGGAAGAAATTTACTTTGATAATTGAAGCCCTGACTGGCTTCATGGTAAATGTGGATGTAACTGGTTTGTGTTCATAATGGCATGAACAGCCTAACGTCACCAAAATGTTTGCCTCTAATGGTTGTCTGATGTTAATCGAGTAAGAAGGAGAAAGTTCAAAATGATGCTGATCCAATTACATTTATAGCCCTATAACGCAATTTCTTATGGTCATGCATATGCTTGTAGAGGAACTTGCAGTGGAAATGTATATATACCCGGATGTATTGTTATCTGGAAAGGTTTCTCAATTTAAAGTTGTCAGAATGTTATCAAACATACATATTGGATCACGCAGATTTGAGCGTTTTCGTTAAACCAACTATCTATTATGAAATCTCGATTGATTCCCACGTACCACTTATAGTAGCCTATGTACAGTTATTGACATATCTTATAGAACGTTTGGTGAATTGAAAAGTTAAAATGACAAGCAGATACATAAAAACATATTGCGATGCAGTGTTATCTCATCTTTGTATAACTATATATACAAAATGATATTCTGCTTTATGACATACTTGCTTGAAATATCGACCAAATTGCATATGTGATACTGTATCATTCCAATTGTCGATATTGCCCGCCCGTGTATTAACCTATTGATATCAGCCCACATCCGGTGATATTAGCCCGCTTCCGGAGATATCAGCCCGCATCCAGGTCTTCAACACAGTCCAGTCCGGTGACCGCTTTAAATTTTAGAGGTTTGTTGTTGTTGTCATCTGCACCTCTCGTCAACAATGGAGTCTCATGGAGAGGCAGTACTCGAATCGTTAGCTCAACCAATACTTGAAATTAGATGAACTTATATATATAATTATCCGCAAAGAAATTGACCAAAGGTTGAAAGAGGCAAGATTTGTGAAAATCGAAACGGAGGACACCGGTAGTTTTGTCGACAGCATGAGAAACCGCAACACGAAGAGGAAAACTCAGAATAATGTATATGATAAAAATCTTATAACATGCCTGTTTTCATACCAGACCCCATATCATATGGGGAAGTTTTAAACTTCTTTGAACTCCTTTTATACACATAATGAAAAAGTCATGAATTTAAAGTTTGGCCTGAAAAACATTGAATTTCACTTTACGCCTTGAAAAGTCTTGTGTTAAAAGTAATTGAATTACTGTTTTAGATAAATATTACAACCCTATTTAGTCAATGATTTGGAAAAACTTTGAAGAGACTTAAAGCCATAATGTGATATGCTCTTTTCAATCTTTACATTTGATTTTTGATAGGTTGACATGATTCAAGTGAGTAACCAAAAAGTTGGTTTGAGCACACAATCCATGCTTTCACATGAGATTATATTCAAGGTCACAGGAGTCAGATATGTTTAAAACATTTAAACAACTTCTTTAGAATAACCGAGAGGCCTAGGGTGCCTAAATTTGGCCAGTAACATGCTGGGATGAAGGGCTATAAAGTTTGTTCAAATAAATGACCTTGACTTATATTCAAGGTCACAGGGGTCAACTATGTTTAAAACATTTAAACAACTTCTTATGAATAACCCAAAGGCCTAGGGTGCTTAAATTTGGCCAGTAACATGCTCGGATGAAGGGCTACCAAGTTTGTTCAAATAAATGACCTTGACTTATATTCAAAGTCACAGGGGTCAAATATATTTAAAACATTCGAATGTCTTCTTCTTAATCAGCAAAAGGCCATGGGTGATGATATTTGGCCATTAACATGCTAGGATGAAGGGCTACCAAGTTTGTTCAAATGAATGACCTTCGCCCATATTTAAGGTCACAGTGGTCAATATATGGTGTAAATCTTTAAATCTTTAAATCTTTAAATGATTGTTCTGTATAACCAAAAGGTCCAGGGTAATGATATTTTGCTAGAAGCATGCTGGGTTGGAAGACTATAAACTCTGTTCAACCTAATGTCCTTGTTCGACATTCAAGGTCATGGGCGTCATGTGTTTAAATCTTTTAATAGGTTCTTATGAATCAAACATTGATATTCTGCCTGTAGTTGTATTTTAGTCCACTTTTAAGATAACAAGTGTGAGATTAATACCAGGTGAGCGATTCAGGCCCATTAGGCCTCTTGTTTGTCAGAAACTGAAGTGTCAAGACTAACAATGTTCCATTGCATGTATCATTACCTTGTTTACTCATGCTTATTCCTTTTACCACTGTGGACCAAAATGGACTCATCCAGATCAATGCATGGTAGAGTTTACTAAAGTTACATAGGGGTGAAAGGGTTATATTATGGCATATTTTTGTTGAAATTGCTACATCCTCAATTTTAGTTTGCTGTCACTAGGGGTGTCAAGGTTCTTTTCTAGGATGGGCCAGTATGGATAGCAATGCTTTAATATAACTGGAATATGTTTTGCCTGTTTGTCATTAATTTCAATTCCTTGAAGTTGTTGATTTAGCTTTATATTCCAGATAACAGTGGTACATTGAAGTAAAGAATTTTATGAGAAATAATAAGATAATACAAGAGTGACAAAAATAAATGATCAGGAAACTGACTTTCTTTTTGAAATGAAGAAAGATCCCAGGGGATCTCGACCCAGGTTTGTTACACTAGGATATTCTGGCCCCAATGTCAACACACTTAGAAGGATGTTTATGCGTCGGTTTCAGTATTGGGAGAAATAGGGGTAAATCTTCAAAATTTGATCCAGAGCATCTTTGAGCACAATGGACCAGATTTTAAAAACAGAGGATTTGGCCCCTGGCCTATAGGCAGAGGGCCAGGGTCCAATAAGGGAAATAAAGGTAAATCTTCAAAATCCTTCTCCTTCTGTATTAAAAGGATTTTTGTCAGAATTTGCTCTAGAGCCCAAAATCAGTTTTGTTTAAATGAGGTTGTGCAGTTTGAGGGAGCCAAGAGATGGGGCTCAATTTTGGGAATAGAGGTTAAATTCCTTTTCCTTCCGTAGAAATAAATAGATTTTGTCTACATATGTTTTGGGGAAAATTTGTGCCAAAGGGACTAATTAAGAGTTGTATAATTAGAGGGGTGGCCCCTTGGGGCAGAAGAACCAGGCACAATAGGGGAATAATAGGTAAATTCTTTAAATCCTTCTGCTTCTAAACGAATAACAGGATTTTAACCATATTTGCTTTGGAGCATCCTTGGGATAAGGGGACTCAGTGTTGTAAAAAATAAATCAGAACGTACATGGCCGCTGCAGGGGCAAAGGGGTTAATATAAGGCACAATGGGAGAGATTGGGTTATAACTTGGAAATGGATAAGATCCCTTCTCTGTATTCAGATACCATATTGGTTCTAATAAAAGCCTGTCTAATAACTCCCCATCTTTCGACTTTGAGGTCAAAACATCCTTAAAAAAATCTATTGTTTATTTGCTATTTTAGACATTTTGAATTTTGGCGCAAAAAGACGAGAATTCACTAACTAAAAAGATGAAAATCAACAAATCATTAAATGTCTAAACCTTATCCCGGGGTTATGATGTAAAAGCTGTTGAGATCTCCACTCAAAGGTCTGGCCCCACCCTGGGAAATTAGTCACTCTGGGTCATAACATGGAAACAGCTGAAATCCGCCTTTCCTATAAGGACTCGCACAACTAAATAATTTGCTATATGTTATTACTAAGCTTTTGAGCTAATAGCTTTAATATTTGAAGTTCAACACTAGTGACAGCTGTCTAGATCCACAGATACAAACCTGACAAAGGCTTCAAAGGACATTATTTGGTGGGTTTAATGGCATATAAGAGTGCTTCAAGCCAAACCGGTGAAATGGGATGGGAACACCCCCTCACTTTTGACCCCATATCAATCCACCATCACATATTAAAACCTACTAAAACTACATTTTTTTCTAAAGTTGAATATCTGTAGATATCATACAATGTAAGATGGGTCAACAATATCCCATTTAAATGACTAAGATGAACTGTATTTAACCGGAACAAAGGACTTGGGGCAATATGGGTCATTTTTGGAAAATTTCAACTTCAATATATTTACCAATTTCTGTTATAAACATCATATTGGTTAATTGGAACTATCTTTCTTGGTGTAGATTATTTTCCAGTGTGCATGCGTAGATGCCCTACGTACATACCATAGCAACAAATGTGCGTTGCTATGCAGAAATAGCCAAAATATGGTGTTTTTGGAAGTTAACTTCGGAAGTGAAAGCCTAGATCTGCATGTTACAAACAAAATTCCTTTCTACAAATTAATGAACACTGGTATGACAATGTTTCAGAATGTCAAATATTTATTTGTTGCATGCGGACGCTTTCAAAAATTGAAGAGCATTAAGTTAATTTCCTTCAAAATGGCAGATTTTCAACCAAATAGTGCACAACAGACGATTTTCACACATTTTATCAAGAAAATGCCCGTTTATGTCTCTCTTTGTAATGTCATATCTCCTAAACCAGTTGTCAAATGAATTTTATATTTGCGTATTTACACCCCTAGTCCTTTTAGGTAGGGATTACAATTGTATGAAACACTTGCTGGTTGGCTGATTTAGTTTCCGAGTCCTATAACCATATATACACATTATACAGATCTAAATCATCTTTCTTATGAAGCATCTATATAAATAGTGCTCCTTTGATCTGGCAATCATTGACAGTTTGTTTTGTAAAGGAAGAAAGTAGCATCCCCGACATTGTGAAGAATAAAATGTATTTTCAACTTGTGTTCAGAGAGATTTCAATACAACATATCTAGCTGCTGAACATCGAAAATGAAATGATAAGTCATAGATAAGGATGATTTGGTCATTGAAACTTTGGGGGAATTCATTTTTTTGCAAAATTCTGAAAATACAGTTACAAAGTTTTCCCAATTACACAGACACAGGCATTTTTTCGAAAAACAGTTGGGAAAAAGGCCTTGAATTTTGTCCAAACTCCATTGAGTAACAGTTGATAGGTTGTATTTATAACGAATTTTGTAATTATATACAGGGTATATATGCATATATCCTGAAATAGTTTTGACATGAACTTTTCTTTACCTATGTGGAACACTGATATATATTTGTTTAAAGATTGAAATTTACTTACCAGGTATTCTTAAAATAGATGCATAGTAAGCAATCGGTATATTTTAATTGAATTATTGTTTCCTTTTTTACTCAATGTTGAAAGTAAATTCATTCTAATATCCATGATTCCAGAATGCATAAAATTAAAAAATGTATCAAAAATTATTATATTACATGTTAATAATAAGACTTGTCATATTTCAAAATTATTAAAAAAAATACACTTGTTCAAAACCCTATTTTGAAATTATTAATATTAATCAGACTTGTTAACAATAATGCTTTAAATTATTCCTTTTCAAGATAAAATGCATATATATGTGTGGGTGGCTTGGTGTGGTCAACTGTCAAATGTCCAGAGTGTCTATAGGTTTTGACCACTGACCAGATCTCACCTGTTGTTTTACCTGTGACTGTTGGAGTGTCATCTAGCACCTGTGACCTCTGACCCTGCCACCTCACACTCTAAAACACAACCTGTCTTTCCCATTGGCTGGAATGTAATAGAAGTCAGCTTTGATTGGATAGTTGATTTCCTACTTTTATGAATACTTGTCAGTTTGTAATATTCAACAGTAGTTTTGAGGTGTCCCATGTAGATGACAGGCCATTTGGAGCTGAAATTAATTCCTGGGAAAGTTTGTTTTTCATTCTGTGTGGGAACAAGTAATGTAAAGACTAACTCACCGGCATTGACATCTGGACATATAGACAGTTATTATGCCTATTTAAAAACTGTTTGGTATGTTTGTGTAAATTGAATTATGAACTATTAGTGTTGATGAGAAGAAAACAATACTCTATTTTGGAGTTGTGAGGATTATCTAAGCTGCATTGGTGACGGTGACGTACAGAGCCTTAGTTCTGTACTGTGTGGAACTTAAAATATAGTGTGGGAAAAAACCACGCATTAATGTACATTGTACCTTGTATACCCTGAGAATTAATAGAGTACTCAAGTTATATACCTTGTGGACGTTTAAAATACCTAAAGTGTGAAAAAACACATTAGGATTGATTTACTTCATACCTGCACGCCATATCCTGAAAACCGAAGACTAATCCTGCAGTTTGTGTGAGCTAGGACATTATAAAGTGCTATACAGGAGGTATATAGAAGATGGCTATGCTTATCAAGACCGAGGCCCTGCCTGCCGGTGGAGATCTAGCTAAAATCTGCACACATCCCATGTTTGAGGACCTACAGGCAACACTGACCAGCGAGTGCTACCAAAACTTTCAGACACTTCCGTTCAGTCTGTGTCGAGAAGGCGTCGCTCCGATGGAAGAGGAGGCTGAGCCTGTTATACTAGACCCCGCCCTCATTGCTGTTCAGGAAGCCAATTTACAATCCGACTTTCAACGGGTATTCGCACACAACTCGGAAAAAGTCCACCAGCTGCACAAATTCTACAGCGAACAGTGCCAGGAAGTTGAGACTGATCGGTGTTCTTCCATTGACAAGTTGAAGACAAAAGAGGTTGACGCAAGTTTCTATCAAAGTGAAATCAATAAAATCCATGAGGAACACGATCGTCAGCGCATGCATCTCACACACCGGGTTACAGCTAGCCTACAGCTACTAAAGGTGGCACTGCCGTCTGCTGCCGATTCTACGACTGCCACCACAGCATCTGGGTCTGGAAGGTCAAAGTCACGACAATTGAATGGACGAGGTGTGACTATCATGTGTGACTGGTATGAGAAACACATCAACAATCCTTATCCGTCGGAGGAAGAAAAAGAAAAAATGGCTCGGGACGGGAGCCTGTCTCTCGCCCAAGTCAAGGCCTGGTTTGCCAACAAGAGAAATAGGACCAGCAATACAAAACCCAAGAAACAGAAACAACAAGTGGAACGAAAATTATTATCCATCTGTAGTGGACTGACAGGTTCAGGGGGTACGACAGACAAGGCGCCACGTCTCTACGGAGACATCATACGTCAGCTGTCAGACATCGTAAACAGTTCCACCGTGTTCAGTCAACCAATCGGAAGTGACGTACCTTCGTCCCAGACTGTGATTCAGTAAGGTGGGATGTCCATTTCATCACCTGTTTGAAGTCTAAACTGTCAGTTCATATGTAAACATGTTCTGCTGTCCAGTTTCAGCTGTTAGACATTTGGAGTAGATTCACCATCATCAGTCAGCCAGATATTGACGCGAGCAGTGGAATGGGATGACCTATTCTATTCTTCTGTCAAATTATTGACAAAAAACTGTACAGACCCCTGTGTTATCAGACATCTGACATTTGAATGTATATAGCGAATGTGGCTATAAAAACTGTACAGACCCCTGTGTTATCAGACATCTGACATTTGAATGTATATAGCGAATGTGGCTATAAAAACTGTACAGACCCCTGTGTTATCAGACATCTGGCATTTGAATGTGTGTAGCGAATATGGCTATAAAAACTGTACAGACCCCTGTGTTATCAGACATCTGGCATTTGAATGTGTGTAGCGAATATGGCTATAAAAACTGTACAGACCCCTGTGTTATCAGACATCTGACATTTGAATGTGTGTAGCGAATATGGCTTTAAAAACTGTACAGACCCCTGTGTTATCAGATATCTGACTTTGAATGTGTATAGCATCATGTGGCTATAAAACTGTACAGACCCATGTGTTATCAGATATCTGACTTTGAATGTGTATAACATCATGTGGCTATAAGACTGTACAGACCCCTGTGTTATCAGATATCTGACTTTGAATGTGTATAACATCATGTGGCTATAAGACTGTACAGACCCCTGTGTTATCAGACCCTTGACTTTTGAATGTGTATACCATCATGTGGCTATAAAACCGTACAGACCCCTGTGTTATCAGACACTTGACTTTTGAATGTGTATACCATCATGTGGCTATAAAACCGTACAGACCCCTGTGTTATCAGACATTTGACTTTTGAATGTGTATAGCATCATGTGACTATAAAACTGTATAGACCCCTGGGTTATCAGATATCTGACTTTTGAATGTGTATAGCATCATGTGGCTATAAAACTGTACAGACCCCTGTGTTATCAGACATTTGACTTTTGAATGTGTATAGCATCATGTGGCTATAGAACTGTACAGACCCCTGTGTTATCAGACACTTGACTTTTGAATGTGTATAGCATCATGTGGCTATAGAACTGTACAGACCCCTGTGTTATCAGACATCTGACATTTGAATGTATATAGCATCATGTGACTATAAAACTGTACAGACCCCTGGGTTATCAGACATCTGACATTTGAATGTGTATAGCATCATGTGACTATAAAACTGTACAGACCCCTGTGTTATCAGACATCTGACATTTGAATGTATATAGCATCATGTGACTATAAAACTGTACAGACCCCTGTGTTATCAGACATCTGACATTGAATGTGTATAGCATCATGTGGCTATAAAAAACTGTACAGATGCATATTATCACAGAGATCCATAGTCACAATCTCCATTTACAAATGTGTGTATAGCATCATGTGAATATAACAAACTTTTCAGAACTCTGTGTAACCATAGGGTATTGTGACATGTTGAAATTAGCCTCATGCTGAATATTTATGTTTATTTAAGATTCATTCTCCTATCGCAAAATATTGGGTAGTTAGCACCGACTCCTGTGATTCTTGTGAGAAGTTATTGCAAACATTCACAGTTATGTACAACTTGTATGAAAGCTGTATGTGAAATTAACCATTAGACCTTGTACATATATTTATATTAAGATATCTATGAATATTCAGCTGTTCAAAGATAGATGTATAATCGACTGGTAATTAACTAAATGATATTGTCTAATTTGAAGAAATAAGAAATCAATTTATTCTTGAAAAGTGCTGTAAAAGCTTACCGGTAATTGATGTTGATTGATATAAATATTTATTAAAATAGTATAAATGAATTGGTTGACTGGTGTTTTAGTTCTGGTTTTCATACTATTGTGTTATCATGAACTACTGACATTACCACAACAAATGTTAACGTTCGGCAGAGACTACACGATATTGAGGACATTGTCCAGAAATTCAACTAAATATCTCTTTTTTTTCTCAGTTATTATTTGCATTTGAAATGCCACTTGTTTCCATTCATAATTTAACAACACAAGACATTATTTTTATACACCATTACTTTGAAAAAGAAAAAGTACGTCAGAATTTATGCCTTTTAATGTAATATGTTTATGCATTTGAAGATTGTTTCCTTTAAAAATTAAAAGTTTTTCGAATTTTTTAAAGGAATTTTAATGCCAAGTTCATCGCAGAAATATACATTATAATCACTTTGGGTTGGAATTAATTCTCAAGATCACTTTATTTTTGCAAGACTTACTTTTTACATTATTTCGCGAGTAGATTCTTTTGTGCATTTGCATCTGCCGTGACCATAAATTCCATAGATAAGTGCTCAACATTGAAATAGTATTCTTTCGGTCACAAATTCAGGTATTCACAAAACCTTGTATGTGAAATATAGTACATATAGTCACAGAAAGAAAGTGATTCACTTTATTCTACACTAGTGTCTCATATGTATACTTGTGACTTAAGGATATATGCTACCTATACAACTGTGACACAAGCCTTCTTCCCAAAAGAGTTAATTTTGATTGTTTTTAAAATAAACAACTTATTTTTAAAGGTAAACGGTTTACCTTTAAAAATATGTTGTTTATTTTATGTAGAACTCTGGCATTTTATGGTTTAAAACCAGAATGTTTACCCTAATGAACTCTCAGATAATTTTAAGTTATAAGCCACACTCTGTTCAAATTATTTTTCATAAAGGGAGATAAATCTTTTATCCAATATGTAAGGTAGCATATATCCTTAATTTGTTTGTCATAATAGTACAGGACTGAAAAGGGTTTAAAGGGGTGTCAATGCAATTTTGTACCTTCAGTTATAGCCCAAAAGTAGATACATTAAATTTTTAGCGTGGCTTAAATTTTCAAAGTAAAATTAAGGTCAAAACAAGGTCACTGACTTTTATGTCTCCCATTGGTTCTACCTGAGGCAGCTATATGTTTGCACTTAATCCACCAATCAGTCTGTCACTTTAATTTGTTCAGAGCATACAATATATATATATATAATCTATGTACTTGGTCACCTATAATTGCCATACTTTGTATGCGAGTACCTCTTGGAATATTTGAGTACTATATACTGAATTAAGATCTTGTGATAAACTATGTAAAGAACTGTGTCCTTGGTTCACTGTGCATAATATAACCCTGTAACCTATGATTGTCCTTGGTTCACTGTGCATAATATTACCCGGTAACCTATGATTTTCCTTGGTTCACTGTGCATAATATTACCCGGTAACCTATGATTGTCCTTGGTTCACTGTGCATAATATTACCCGGTAACCTATGATTGTCCTTGGTTCACTGTGCATAATATTACCCGGTAACCTATGATTGTCCTTGGTTCACTGTGCATAATATTACCCGGTAACCTATGATTGTCCTTGGTTCACTGTGCATAATATTACCCGGTAACCTATGATTGTCCTTGGTTCACTGTGCATAATATTACCCGGTAACCTATGATTGTCCTTGGTTCACTGTGCATAATATTACCCGGTAACCTATGATTGTCCTTGGTTCACTGTGCATAATATTACCCGGTAACCTATGATTGTCCTTGGTTCACTGTGCATAATATTACCCGGTAACCTATGATTGTCCTTGGTTCACTGTGATTGATATTACCCGGTAACCTATGATTGTCCTTGGTTCACTGTGATTAATATTACCCGGTAACCTATGATTGTCCTTGGTTCACTGTGATTGATATTACCAAGGAAACCTATGATTGTCCTTGGTTCACTGTGATTAATATTACCCGGTAACCTATGATTGTCCTTGGTTCACTGTGATTAATATTACCCGGTAACCTATGATTGCAATGTTTACGCGAGTACCTCTCGGGATGGCGCAGTGTTGTGTACATTCTTGATAAGGAAATGTGTTGGGAGGTGGAGGAAGTAAATTGGATTGCTGGCGATACTCTATCAAGTGTTTTCAGTAACAAGTTTGTCCATACTATTGTAGCCCTGTCAAGGGTGAACTTATAATAAATAATAATAATTATAATTTGAGGTTGTTATATACCGCTTTATCACAACCTAGTTCGTTGGTCGTCTCAAAGTGCCTTACAAATTATTATCCATGGTTATAGGGCCTTTGCAACCAGCCAATATCTTTCTCCAATCCCTGGGGAGCATACAGCTGGTGCTGCCATTCCGGCGCTCACAGCTAGCATTCTACAATGCTAACACTGCCCTGCAGCCACGTACTCATTCACAGATGAGTAGACTAGTACTGGAACAAGCAGAGTAAAACATCTTGGTCAAACATACAACACAGTGCCGTACCACAACTCAAACCTGCAACCTTCTGAAAGAACTTAAGTTGTATTTGTAAAGGATGAACTATAGTTATATTTGTTTAGGAAGAACTGAAGTTGTATTTGTAAATTAAAGGAAGAACTAAAGTTGTATTTTTCAAGGGTGAATTTAGCTGTTTACTTGTTAACTGTGAACTAAAGATAAGTTGGGGGGGGTCCAATTCCTATTGAAAAATGTAGTGCTAGTTTTCCCCAAAATTCCTTCATAATTTCTTTACTACGTCTCCCCCACCCAACGAAGAAAAAAGAAAAAAATCTTTTAAATATTGATAATTTTTGTTAAATTCAAATGATAAGTGTTCCATTTTTAGGTTTCTGCCCAATTAACATTTGGGGCCTTTTCTCAATTCAGTTAGAAAAAGCAATGGTTTCTTTACAAACCAGTCATATTCCATGTAATGTAAAATAAAACCATTTCAATGTTCTTTTTTGTTTATGACAGATATATGCTTGGCCTCTGTTGGAGACGTTGTTTTCTGAAGTCCTGACCAAGGAAGAATGGCTGATGATGTGGGACAGTGTTTTCAGTAATCACCCGTCATTCTTGCTCATGGCAGTGGTAGCCTACACCATCTCGGCCCGAGGACCACTGATGCAGTGTATTGAACTAGACGATTTTAAGGTTTGTAGTCAGCTACAGGAAATCTTACTTTACTTAAGGATGTATGCTACCTTAATTGTCTACCGCCCGTACTATTGGAATGGACCATAAAAGCTAACAGCTCTGTTTGTAAGTGAGTCTGTCAGTGTAACAGTTACTCTAGGGTAAACCTTGTACAAGTGTCGCCATAAATAACCTGGTTTTGTTTGTTTGGGGTTTAATAAGGACGGTATGTGAGTACCTCTTGGGAAAGAAGAATGGTGTGTAAGCAAATTTTGATCTTGTGCCCAACTATATACAAAGTTATTTCCCTTTGTTTATCTTGTGTCACATTGTCCGGGATATATCTCCTTTGTTACTCACAATGGACAAATTTTGTATGTGAGTACCTATTGGAATGGCAGAGTACTTACATTTCTCTTGTGCCCAAATATTTACAGAGTTAAGGCCCTTTCCTCATGTTTATTTGGAGGTGGTGTACATATTAATTGCTTGCATACTTTACCTTGTGGTAGAGGTAACCATATATATATTATCCCTTTATTCTATTGTGATATACATGTGTAGAAGGAACGTTTCACTTACAAGATCTGATGTGTGGGAGGCATACTGTCTCTGTATCAGATCTTCAGCCCAGAAATTCCTCCAATTTCAAAATAAGTACTACTCCCTAAATCCCAAATTAATCAATGCTTAAGCGCTGAATCAGGATTCGTGTAATTTAAAAATTGTTGCCAATGCTTGGAAATTTGAGTGCAGGAATGTAAGAAAATTTACAGCATCAATATATTCCACTGTATAATAATTAAATGTAGAAACTTGATTATATGTGCTTCATAAATGTCGCACCATAAATCTGTTATTATTTGATTGTGGAAAACCTATTTGGGAATTCCAACGACTTGTTAATATGTCTAGGTAATTCCAGAGTGATACATGATGGCATGTTTTCTGTAAGAACTCAAACAAGTGCTAAATGTAATTATGTATGCATGAATGCAGCAGACAATATCCATTTAAACAACGTTACGATTTATAGGGATATATTCTGTTACACTCTATACCAAATATTGTTAAAACCATTCATGTGTCAAATTCAATCCTTTTCTTTGGTTATTTGTGTTAGAGAATTCCTGTCATAAGAATTAAGAACACTTGAGTGTACCTCTATAGCTAAATCACACACAATTAAAAAATGCTAATATGACCCAGCCCTATATAGCACACGATTTTCCAAGCACAAATCACTTCGAAATAAATTTCAATAGGACACGTGCTGATATAATCTGAATATTTAAAATGTATGTGAATTACATTTTTTAATGATGATTCCTTACAACACACAACACAGGGGAATCGATACATCTGTCTGACATTATTTTTTCTGAACCATAACATGAAAACCAGTCCAGACGTATTTGTGAACTGTGGTTCATATATATACCAAACGAGTGGTATAGAAATGCCTTTTAACTACGCCAGAGTTCTGCCAAACCAGTGGTATAGAAATGCCTTTTAATTATGCCAGAGTTCTATCAAATCAGTGGCATAGAAATGCCCTTTAACTATGCCAGAGTTCTATCAGACCAGTGATATAGAATTGCCGTTTAACTATGCCAGAGTTCTATCAAACCAGTGGTATAGAAATGCCCTTTAACTATATGCCAGAGTTCTATCAAACCAGTGGTATAGAAATGCCCTTTAACTATGCCAGAGTTCTATCAAACCAGTGGTATAGAAATGCCCTTTAACTATGCCAGAGTTCTATCAAACCAGTGGTATAGAAATGCCCTTTAACTATGCCAGAGTTCTATCAAACCAGTGGTATAGAAATGCCCTTTAACTATGCCAGAGTTCTATCAAACCAGTGGTATAGAAATGCCTTTTAACTATGCCAGAGTTCTATCAAACCAGTGGTATAGAAATGCCTTTTAACTATGCCAGAGTTCTACTTAAATTATTATTTTTTATGCTGCCCATGGAAACAATGTGTAAAATTTCCACAGCAATATTGTTGTCACCGTGCAATATGTGGCAAATAAGATTGGCCTAAAAACATCCTGTGTCTGTGTGTATTGTTTTCCTTTCATGATAAGGAATTAAATGTTGACAACTTTGTCTTTCTGTCAGTATGTAGCTATACAGCTTTAAGTTTCATATTTTTTAAATCACAATACAGAAATTACCACCATTTTTTTAGGTGGAAAAAAAATGAAAAATATCAGTTAACTTTGACTTAGTAAATTATGATTCTCAGTACAATATTTGCAAAGCAAAGTAGATGAAATTCTGTTAAATTTCTACAATTCCCAAATTTTTATAGGACTTGTCACAAAGTGATTTTAGTTCAATCAATACAGATTTTAGTGGGTCACCATTTATAATTTTCATCCTCCAACCATGATTATCGGCAAAGGGACATGCAAAATTGTCAAAATGAATCACAGTTTCAAATATATATGTAATTACAATGTAAATATAAGACATTATTTGCAATATGTACAAATAATAAAAATTAAAAAAAAAACTCAATGTGTATAAATTTGAATTTTCAGTTTTTTTACCACCATCGTAACGCCGTGGATGTACGACAAGTAATTAAAGAAGCGTACCACCTGATGGAGGCCACGCCCGAGGATATCCACCCACAGAAAACATTGGCCGAGTTTAAACCTCTCACAGTGGGGCAGTACCCTGTCTTCAACAAATATCCAAAATTTATCGTGGACTACCAGGTAAATGTACAGCACTACCTCAAAATTAATCTGACAAAGTTTTCCATAGGTGTGACAATTTCTTGGGCCTCTCTCTTGTATGGATTGAAGTATGCAGGTTACCCTAAATTCCTTATACCAGTGGGAGATCACATGTTCTTATGATGTCATACTAAATTAATTTTCTAATAATTCTCATAACGTAATTCTGTTTCAGTTTTTTCCCACAAAAAAAAATCTTTTTCAAAGTTAATGCAACCCAGATGAACAGTAATGGCTACACTTACCAAGAAATGAAAAAATAAAGTTTAAACCCTATCAAAGCATGATTTTATTTCCTATATTTACAAAAAAAAGTTTTCTGGGGTTAACTTAATCATGAAATTGAAAGAGATGACTGTAGTAACCAATGAAAGTTATTTATAGGTCCAGGAACGTGAGAGAATACGCCATGAAGAAATGGAATATCTACGCCAAAGGTAAGTTTTTATATCATAAGCATATATAGAGGTCTTTGATGGGGAATACGACGGGATTGCTGTGAAGGGAGATAATTTAACCGTCTTGACAGTAATGAAAAAAGTCTGTACAGAGAGTTCTGTGTGGTTTAAAGTAAATGACAAATTCACTAAGGAACTCACATGTTTTGTTAAGAAATGTGTAATCAATGAGGTGATTTATTAATTAGATAATTTTGGGTTGAGAAGTAATGTTTTATGATTCTTATTTATAAGCTGATAGCCACACCTGTAATCAGAGATCACCCTAAGCTTAGGAAGTCCTAAACCTGGTCTCTTAGTTCAGGTGGGGTTTTAACCCTTTCATCCCTTACTTCAATAGACTCTACCATACATTGATTTGAATGAGTCCATTATGGTATATAGTGGTACCAGTTCAATTCACAATGAAATCACCACAATGGGAAAAATCAGAAATGGTCCGATAACACAGGTAGTCTCTTAATAGAGGTCATTACAGAGGCAGGTTTGACTGTACTGCTATTGAGGATAGATGTATGGATTTTATTTCCTCCAGTTACCTTAGTCTTCAGATGTATCATATTTACTGTAATTAGTGCCTTCCACTTATAAGCACCCCCCCACCNATGTATCATATTTACTGTAATTAGTGCCTTCCACTTATAAGCACCCACCCCCCCCCACCCCCCACAGACACACACACACACACACACCTTTCCCATACACCCTCTATTCTGGCTCTCTCCAGTTAACAAAGAACTTAACTATATACATGTGCATGTTATAGCAGTGTTTGAGAAAAAAACAGAAAAAATCCTAGAAAAGGATAAACTCTTTGGAATTCTCCCTGGGAATATGTGTCCCATATTTATGTTGCCTATACAGCAATTGTAATAATGTAACATTTTGTTGCGTAATTTAATTACCTCTTCAGCCAATTTTTCATGTGGCCTGGGTGCTTATTACGGGGATTACGGTAGTATTGTTGATGATGAAGTTTGCTTTGACAGACAAGTGTCACTGGAGATGCAGAAGGAGACGATGAAGCGAACACAGGAGGAGGAGGCGTGGTACAGACAGCAGCAGCTACTGACGGACGCGGAGGAAAAACGCCGCACCCTCATACATACCGAGGAGCAGAAACTCACTGCACAGAGGAAACGGTAAGCTTGTGGTCCTATAATATGAAATTTAAAATGAAAAAAAATATCTGGTACATACCGGGTATTATTTTAGTGAAATTTGAATAGGATGGGAAAAAGCTCAGGAAAACCCCCAGGAATGTAGAATTTTTGAATAATTAAGAATTAAATAAGAGAAGTAACTGGTTATTAAAATCAGATCTCACTTATTTTGATTATAAATATACATTATTGTAAAAATAAAAGTAACTTTTAAAATGTATCAAAGCTGTCTCTTACCAAGTCGGATTTAGCAGACATTCCGCATACTTCGGAAAATCAACAAAACTGTCATAGTGAAATGTAGGTAACGTAGAATGACATCATTTCAATACCTTGTGCGTTGTTGTAACAGGTTAAATGCCATGAATCGTGAGGTGAAACTTAAGGAACTCCAGTTACTGGACGCTGCCCGACGCAAGTTCCTCCACTTCCAGAAGGAAGAGCGTCAGAAGGAGCTACGACGTCTCGACGACGAGGTCCAGAGGAAGGTGATTGATTGATGGTTTTTGAGAGGGTGGGGGCAGATTGATGAATGTCTGAAGATGATACAGCAATGTTGTGTTTTGAAAGGCACTAAGATATCTCCTTTTATTGGTTTGTTAAATATCCATGAATGTTTATATTCAGATGTGCCAGTGGAAACAAATGTAACCATTTTTACCATTTTTATGCCCCAATCATTTTACTCGGAAGGGGTTGTGGGTGGGTGGGTTGTGGGGGGCATATTGTGTTACCCATGTCTGTCCGATCTTGTCGCAACTCCTTATCACAACTCCACTGACTTCATTTCTGAACACTCAGATTTTCATCATAGCTTACACAAAGGTCTGGTACAAGAATACCTGGAACTAGTTTGTATTTTAGGTTCCCAAGGTCACTTGCTATCTATATTAGGAGGCACAGCAGTCTAGTGGTAGGACGCCGGGCTCGTGACCAAAGGGTTGCGGGTTCGAGTCACATCACGGCACTGTGTTGTTTCTTTGAACAAGATACTTTTACTCTGCTTGTTCCAGTATACTGTAAATGAGTACATGGTTGGGCAGTCTGGAATTGTTGAACGCTAGCTGTAAGCGCCGAAATGGCAGCACCGGCTGTATGCTCCCCAGGGAGTTAAGAAAGATATTGGCTGGTTGCAAAGGCCCTATAATTAACTGTGGATAATAATTTCTGAACCGCTTTGAGAGGAACTACGAACTAGGTTGTGATAAAGCGGTATATAAGAACCTCAAATTCTTACTATCATTATTATATCAACCACAGGGCCAGGAGGGCATTCATGTCTTACAGACGTTTTCTAGTTTTTGACAGGGAAAGTATATATAACACTTGTTTTGTGGAAAGAAAACTGTATTACATAATTATAAAATTCAATAGAGTAAACTTCAGCGATGGGTGTAAGTCACTAAACTAGAACACATTTAGCATACATTCTGAACACAAGCAAAGGAAAGTTTAGGAGGAAATCTAGTATAATAGCTGGTTACCCTTGGATCCTATACCTAGCACCTGCTGCTGCTGCTGCTACCAGAGAAACACAAAATAACTAGAAAAAATGTATTAAAACTTGTAATTCACTTTATATATAAAAAATCATTTAACCTTTTCACCACTGTAGACCATAATGGACTCATCCAGATCAATACAGGGTAAAGTTTACCAAAGTTGCATAGGGGTGAAAGGGTTAATAGATTTTTTTATTTTTTTCAAACTCTAGAAGTTCTTACTGTTTTACTGTTTGGATTATAACAACATTCTTGGTGGGTAGGTTTATGTAAGGGTTGTACTGTATTGTGTTATAACAACATTCTAGGTTGGTAGGTTTATGTAAGGGTTGTACTGTTATTTGTTATAACAACATTCTAGGTGAGTAGGTTTATGTAAGGGTGGTACTGTTATTGGGTTATGACAACATTCTAGGTGGGTAGGTTTATGTATGGGTTGTACTGTTATTGTGTTATAACAACATTGTAGGTGGGTAGTTTTATGTAAGGGTTGTACTGTGATTGGGTTATAACAACATTGTAGGTGGGTAGTTTTATGTCAGGGTTGTAGTGTATTGTGTTATAACAGCATTCTAGGTTGGTAGGTTTATGTAAGGGTGGTACTGTTATTGGGTTATGACAACATTCTAGGTGGGTAGGTTTATGTCAGGGTTGTACTGTATTGTGTTATAACAACATTGTAGGTGGGTAGGTTTATGTAAGGGTTGTACTGTTTTTGGGTTATAACAACATTCTAGGTGGGTAGGTTTTTGTCAGGGTTGTACTTTTATTGGTTTATAACAACATTCTAGGTTGGTAGGTTTATGTAAGGGTTGTTCTGTTATTGGGTTATAACAACATTCTAGGTGGGGAGGTTTATGTCAGGGATGTACTGTTATTGGGTTATAACAACATTCTAGGTTGGTGGGTTTATGTAAGGGTTGTACTGTTATTGGGTTAAAACAACATTCTAGGTGGGTAGATTTATGTTAGGGTTGTACTGTTATTGGGTTATAATAAAATTCTAGGTGGGTAGGTTTATGTAAGGGTTGTACTGTATTGTGTTATAACAACATTGTAGGTGGGTAGGTTTATGTATGGGTTGTACTGTTATTGGGTTATGACAACATTCTAGGTGGGTAGGTTTATGTCAGGGGTGTACTGTTATTGGGGTATAACAACATTCTAGGTTGGTAGGTTTATGTAAGGGTTGTTCTGTTATTGGGTTATAACAACATTCTAGGTGGGTAGTTTTATGTCAGGGTTGTACTGTATTGTGTTATAACAACATTGTAGGTGGGTAGGTTTATGTAAGGGGTGTACTGTTATTGGGTTATGACAACATTCTAGGTGGGTAGGTTTATGTCAGGGTTGTACCGTTATTGGTTTATAACAACATTCTAGGTTGGGAGGTTTATGTAAGGGTTGTACTGTTATTGGGTTATGAAAACATTCTAGGTGGGTAGGTTTATGTCAGGGTTGTACCGTTATTGGTTTATAACAACATTCTAGGTTGGTAGGTTTATGTAAGGGTTGTGCTGTTATTGGGTTATAACAACATTCTAGGTGAGTAGGTTTATGTAAGGGTTGTACTGTTATTGTGTTATAACAACATTCTTGGTTGGTAGGTTTATGACAGGGTTGTACTGTTATTGGGGTATAACAACATTCTAGGTTGGTAGGTTTATGTAAGGGTTGTTCTGTTATTGGGTTATAACAACATTCTAGGTGGGTAGGGTTATGTAAGGGTTGTACTGTATTGTGTTATAACAACATTGTAGGTGGGTAGGTTTATGTCAGGGTTGTTCTGTATTGTGTTATAACAACATTGTAGGTGGGTAGGCTTATGTAAGGGTTGTACTGTTATTGGGTTATGACACCATTCTAGGTGGGTAGGTTTATGTCAGGGTTGTACTGTTATTGCGGTATAACAACATTCTAGGTTGGTAGGTTTATGTAAGGGTTGTGCTGTTATTGGGTTATAACAACATTCTAGGTGGGGAGGTTTATGTCAGGGATGTACTGTTATTGGGTTATAACAACATTCTAGGTTGGTAGGTTTATGTAAGGGTTGAACTGTTATTGGGTTATAACAACATTCAAGGTTGGTAGGTTTATGTCAGGGTGGTACTGTTATTGGGTTATAACAACATTCTAGGTGGGTAGGTTTTTGTCAGGGTTGTACTTTTATTGGTTTATAACAACATTCTAGGTTGGTAGGTTTATGTAAGGGTTGTGCTGTTATTGGGTTATAACAACATTCTTGGTTGGGAGGTTTATGTCAGGGTTGTACTGTTATTGGGTTATGACAACATTCTAGGTGGGTAGGTTTATGTCAGGGTTGTTCTGTATTGTGTTATAACAACATTGTAGGTGGGTAGGTTTATGTCAGGGTTGTTCTGTATTGTGTTATAACAACATTGTAGGTGGGTAGGTTTATGTAAGGGTTGTACTGTTGTTGGGTTATAACAACATTGTAGGTGGGTAGGTTTATGTAAGGGTTGTACTGTTTTTGGGTTATAACAACATTCTAGGTGGGTAGGTTTTTGTCAGGGTTGTACTTTTATTGGTTTATAACAACATTCTAGGTTGGTAGGTTTATGTAAGGGTTGTGCTGTTATTGGGTTATAACAACATTCTAGGTTGGTAGGTTTATGTAAGGGTTGTGCTGTTATTGGGTTATAACAACATTCTTGGTTGGTAGGTTTATGTCAGGGTTGTACTGTTATCGGGTTATAACAACATTCTAGGTTGGTAGGTTTATGTAAGGGTTGTTCTGTTATTGGGTTATAACAACATTCTAGGTGGGTAGGTTTATGTCAGGGGTGTACTGTTATTGGGGTATAACAACATTCTAGGTTGGTAGGTTTATGTAAGGGTTGTTCTGTTATTGGGTTATAACAACATTCTAGGTGGGGAGGTTTATGTCAGGGATGTACTGTTATTGGGTTATAACAACATTCTAGGTGGGGAGGTTTATGTCAGGGATGTACTGTTATTGGGTTATAACAACATTCTAGGTAGTTAGGTTTATGTAAGGGTTGTACTGTTATTGGGTTATAACAACATTCTTGGTTGGTAGGTTTATGTCAGGGTTGTACTGTTATTGGGGTATAACAACATTCTAGGTTGGTAGGTTTATGTAAGGGTTGTACTGTTATTGGGTTATAGCAACATTCTAGGTGGGGAGGTTTATGTAAGGGGTGTAAAGTGGAGGATAATTGTAATGCTATGTGACATTGATCTGTTCATCAGGCACTTTTGAGGGACCAGGAAACGGAAGGGTTGTACTGTTATTGTGTTATAACAACATTCTTGGTTGGTAGGTTTATGTTAGGGTTGTACTGTTATTGGGTTCTAACAACATTCTAGGTGGGGAGGTTTATGTCAGGGTTGTACTGTTATTTGGTTATAACAACATTCTAGGGGGGAAGGTTTATGTAAGGGTTGTAGTGTTGTTGGGTTATAACAACATTCTAGGTGGGTAGGTTTATGTAAGGGTTGTAAAGTGGAGTATAATTGTAATGCTATGTGACATTGATCTGTTCATCAGGCACTTTTGAGGGACCAGGAAACGGAGACGGCTATAGAGGAAGCGGAGATCAGGAACATTGAACTACAGCTACAAAAGAAAATGTTTGAACAAGTAAACAATTTATCCTTTCCCTTACTGAATCTGACTCAGTTGTAAACTCGTAGAAGAAACCATTGTTGTATTGATTATTGTGACAGGACAGTATTTGTTTGATTGATGTGTTTTCATTGATAAATGTTTTAGGCAAGATCTCTAGAATTCAGTGGACTTATGACAATCCTGTACGTATTTGTATCACTTTATATTGTGTTTTTGCGATGTTAAAGTTTAATTTATCTGTGACCAGGAATTGTTCCGGGAGTTTGCGACAGTATCACAACAACTTCGAACAGAACAGGACATGCACAGGAAACAGGCAGAACTGGAAGACCGCATACAGGATAGACTTAAGGATGTGGAGAGGGAACGACAAACGGATGTCAGGAAGGTCTGTTGAAAAATGACCTTGATTCAAGAATGTTGAAGTATTCATAAAAACAGGCTACAATAATTTTGATCCCTTGGATGTCAGATTCTAGTTTCAAAGTACAGGGAGATAAGCTACTAGAAAATGCAGATATAGAAAACAAATTACAAAACCTGTTAGAATATTAAGGGAGTAGCCAGTGAAGGTCTGTCACTGCATCTTCCATGTTGCTGTTCCACTATAAGCCCCAACTACAAACCTTCAAGCTCCTTAATAAGCCCCTCTGCATTGCAACTATAAGCCACTCCTCAAAAAGCCTTCTATGAGTCCCTCTCCCTCTGCTAATATTAGCACATGAAATAGAACCCATCATAATATGACACAATCACAATCCTGAAATTACGAGTGAAAGTTTGATCATTCTTTTCACAATTTTTGTTTGTTTCCCTTGTTTCCAGCATTTGTAAGATGTTACTCATCAAAATGAAAGTTATGATACATTGTAAAACCATGATTCTTGTTGCTGTTTATAAATTTATTTTTATAATATCCTATTTATCTGTTACAAAAATAATGTGTAAAAAATGTTTGCCTTTTTCCGCCCCCCATAATGGCAGCAAAGAATAGAACACAGCATTCCATATATATTGCAATTAGAGGCACGGTAGTCTAGTGGTAGGACGCCGGGCTCATGACCGAAGGGTTGCGGGTTCGACTCCGGCACAGCACAGTGTTGTATCTTTGAGCAAGATACTTTACTCCGCTTGTTCCAGTCTACTCAGCTGTAAATGAGTATGTGGTTGGGTAGTGCTAGAATTGTTGAATGCTAGCTGTGAGCGCCGAAATGGCAACACCGGCTGTATGCTCCCCTGGAAGTTGAAAAAGATATTGGCTGGTTGCAAAGGCCCCATAACCACGGATAATAATTATTGAACCGCTTTTGAGATGACCTACGAACTAGGTTGTGATGAAGCGGTATATAAGAACCTTCAATTATTATGATTAATTATTATTAACTATGTGAAGGGAGAAACAAACACTCGGTGAATATAGATTTTACCGATGAAAAGTGAAAGTTTGATTAGGTGAAAAAAGTTATCCTGTGTACAGTTGTAGCGGAACCTGACTTGGTCAATCGTCATTCTACTACACAGTAATAAATTTGACTTTAAAAAAAATAAAAATGTTTATAATAGATAAAACTCAATTCCTCAATTTTCATCAGCTGATTACGATAAATAGAAAATAACACTACATATACATTTTAAAAACCTAAAAAGTAATTTCTGTGATTAAAAAAAAGTACAATTTATTAGTTTATCTCTGTTTCAGATGTTACAAGACAATCTGGCAAAAACAGCCCAGCAGAACACTGAGGCCTGGGCCCAGAATGAGTTTGAGCATCGTCATCGGTTAGAGGACTTGGAACGTGAGAGCAAGGCCATTCAGGTACAGTCTTTGATGTTTTGTTCTCTCTAATCAGGGGACTCATTCTCTCTTGATTAAAATTTTTAAAAATCTTAAAAGAAAACCCTTTCAGATGAATGTTGTTTTTTTCTTATTTTTGGTTACATACTTGCATAAATCGATTGACATTAAAATTCTCAATTCTTTTGAAGGGATATAAAAAAATGAACTTTTAACATTATGGTGCTCTACTTCTAGTTTAGGTTAAAAACCAACAAGATATGAAATAGTATGAAATATTAAAAGGCATTTTCTGCCATGTTTGAGGAATTGTGCATCAGCATAAAACCTGAGTTTGAACTTCAAAATGATTCTATGACAGCAGAGCTATATGTTCTTCTTAAAGTCAAAAAGTAGGGTTTAATCCTGAAACATATAAAGCAGAGAATAGACATATCTTATAATACAATGTGAAACAACGAAAATGTTTTCTTCTCGTAAAATGTTTTTCCTCTTACCTTTTAAATTCACATATTTACTTAGTTAAACTTCTGTAACTTTTAATAACACTTTTCACCCCATTTCAAATGAGTCCTCTCAATCAAGGATGAAAAGGGCAAATATTTCATGTTTTACAGTGCAATCTTTATTTCTTTACAGCTAGCAAAGAAGAGTAGTGAAAACAGGAGGTTGGAACAGGAAGTGCATGATCTGATGAAAAAAGTCCAGGCTCAAACGGTCAGTTGGGGGGTCAATCATGTTACTTCTGTGATCGCTTATTTGCATGATTATACTACAAATGACTTGAAAATATTTAACTTTAAATTTGCTTTTTCAGGGAGAACAGCTCAATCTTTCCCTTGTTGATTACTGTCACTAGAGAATTGAATTTGCTGTTTATTGTCCATACCAGTTGATGGGGTTTTGTCAAAAATATGTATAAGTATTTGTACACTGCATCATTATGAAAAATTCTTTAATATTGAATTGTTTGAATTCCCTGAACCAGTTTATGAACTTGTTTGACTAAGCTATTAAATATTTTGGCACATGGTACAGTTTTTGGGCCTTCAATCAAGGTTAAAGTATTCTCATGGTGGTATACCTACAAACATCGATTTATGTCATTCACAAGGCTGTATAACACCTAACACTATCCTGCTGCTGCTGCTGCTGCTGCTCCTCCTCCTGCTAGCAGTTTGCATTAAACAAAATTAAAGCAGAATTGAATTAAAATGTGTGTACATAACTTGAGGAATGCCAGGAAATATTATGCCTATTGACGTTTTTCAAGTAGAAAATGTGGGGGGTTTTGGGGTTTTTTTTTAATTCTACTTCAACATTTAAGTAAATCTGGTCATTAAGAAGCCTTTATTTGTTCCCTTCACTGCAGGCCACTGAAGCAGAGTTAGCTAGATTCCAGCTGGGAGAGCAAAAAGACCTGGCAGCCGAGTCGGATCAGAGGCGTTTACAGTTCCTGGAGGACGAGGGGTACAAAGCACATTATCACAGCAAGAGACTGACCGAGGACACAATCTCATCATTAAATAGTAAGTAAAGGGAGACAACTAACAGGGTCTGAATAAATCGTAGCACGATTAGTCTTAAAACTGAGCTATGACTTTAATAAAAGAAATTTCTCCTCTTCATAATGTCATATCAGGAGCAGGTTACCTTTTTAGATAGAAATCATTGAAATAACAGTTATTCTAATGACAAATGTTGCGCTAGGGCTTCATGATTAATACTTATGTAACCCAATTCGCGTTCATACCGACATGAACATTGAAAAAATGCCATTCAAACCTTATATTTACATGCTAAATATTTAATTGTTATTGACCTAAATACAGATATACCCTTATATTTTCGATATTGAAGTGTCTGCTGTGTCGTCAGCATGCACAAACAAGATTCCTGAAACAGCCTAACAACACCAGAATGTTTGGTTCTAATGGTTGTTAATTGAGGCGAGAGGAGAAGCTTTAAAATGATGCTGATCAAGTTGCATTCATAGCTTTATGAATGCAATTGTTTCCAGTAATGCTTATAGAGGAATTTTAGTTGTAATGTTAATATATTATGATTCTAAAGTATCCGGTTTTCGTATGACAGGTCACAGACCGGGACTGGCGGGCCTAGACAACAGCAGTAAATCTGAGTTATACCACACTCTGGCCACCTCCGACTGTGATACAGATTCAAAAGGTCAGTAAACCTTACATCCACACTTAACCCTTTCACCACTGTAGACCAGAATGGACTCGTCCAGATAAATGTATGGTAGAGTCTACTAAAGTTACCCAGGGTGAAAGGGTTAAAGGCATTCTAGTCTTAAGTTTTTTCAGATATTAATACTTTTGTAAGCAACTACCATAGAACTGCATTTCAATTTCACATTTATGCAAAACATTTATTGTGAAATAATTTTGTCTTTAAATGTATATTAATAAAAAAAAATACAGAGAAAAACCATCAGGGATACATTAGTGTATCTAAAATGAAAATTGCGCTAATGTATTAAAAACTGTCTAAATATGGCAAAAATGATTGGCTACATAACCTTATTGTAATGGAGAAGTAAAGACTGTATCTCAGACATGTCCCGGGCTGGTATTCATGAAACCATTCTCATCGTCAAACTCGGATTCTGTTCTCAAGATCAATTCCTTATTCTTGTGATAAATTTATTCAGTTTTCAGTGTTTACACTAGACTTTTGACGATGTAAAATGAACTAAGCTAGTAACAATAAAGTTGGAATGATCACAGAATCCATGATCGAGCAGGAGAATGGTTTCGTGAATACAGACCCAGTTGTCCTCACTCAGTGATGAAAATTTAATGCTTTCCTGAATGTTAGATAGACTACAAACCAAATTACTTTATTTATTACAAGTTTGTTCTGGGACCTGTATAATCTGTTATCGTATCTGTCTTTTGCAGTTTCCTTTGACAGGGACGGCCGGGCATTTGACGAGAGAGAGATAGCACTATTACATGAAGTTCGACGACTGAGGGAGAAGTTAGCAGTTGACAACAGGACCAAAAAACCACCGCCTTACACCGCTCTGGACTGAGTACTCATGTATTAAACCTGCTCTGGACTGAGTACTCATGTATTAAACCTGCTCTGGACTGAGTACTCAAGTATTAAACCTGCTCTGGACTGAGTACTCAAGTATTAAACCTGCTCTGGACTGAGTACTCAAGTATTAGACCTGCTCTGGACTGAGTACTCGTGTATTAAACCTGCTCTGGACTAAGTACTCAAGTATTAAACCTGCTCTGGACTGAGTACTCAAGTATTAGACCTGCTCTGGACTGAGTACTCAGATATTAAACTGTTGTGGACTGAGTACTCAATACCTCTTTGTGGCCATACTCAACCTGGAAGGATTACTAATAGCCCCTGGGCCGAGTACATGAGAACTTCATCGACATACTTTTGAATGAGTAGTGACATTAAGAGTAACTGTGGTCATTACATCAGCTAGGAATGATTATTACTTTCATTTGGAGCGAGTTGGTAAGAACCTTTAGTCATATTTAGTCGTGGACCAATTAGTGATACCTGCCGTAGCTGTGACATACTCGTTTATATACCGAGTATGTAGAGACTTTGTGGCTATCATGCACATTTGAAAACTGATTACCATAAATATATGCGAAAAAGGACTGGCCATACTCACTATTGAACTGAACAGTCAAGGATGGCCTTACATCACTTTGAACTGAGTATGTACACTTGTTTATTTACATGTATACGAGTACCAATATGAAATGTACGTACTCAAGTTCTGAATGATATCAGAAATAAGTTTGGCCATACTCAGTCTAGTGCTTAAATAGTTACACAAAGATGTAGGACACTCAACAACAGTGTGTCTTTATGGAGTTGTGGTCTGGTTAAATGTGGCATTTATTTACAAGGACTTGCAGTGGCTATACTCATCTCCAGACTGAGTACGCTGGGGATTATTGTAATCATGTTACACTCAGTGATGATATAATAATATGATTACTTATAGAGACCTGAAAGGACAATAATACACAGGAAATAAAATAGTCCTTATTAAAAGTATTATCATTAGATGATGTAGTTCTAAATGGTCTTATTATTTATTTTGTGTACAAATTGAACATGTACATCCATAGTAAAATAGTTTGGCATACATTTCACATGATTGGTGTCAATAGGTTGTCTGTTAGGTAGAATATATGGCATTTTTTGTTAAAACTTGCCAAAATTGATGAAGACTTGTGCATCTAAAATACAATTGTACTATTTTAGTCAGTCAACCATTGTGATATTGCTTATAGATGTACATACATTAAATTATTTTGATAAATAAAAGACAAAACTATTTACTGCATTGTTTTTGTTTTATATTTTGAAGAAAAAAATACATCAGTATGAAAATGATTAACAGATATTTTCAGTGTTGTGTCTGTCATGTAAAACGGCCTTCAAATAATCTGAAAAGCACTCTGAAAATATCAATATGCTGTTGAAGATGATTCAAACAGAAAAGAAAAAAGTTAAATTATAATGATACAGAATTACTTTTTTCTTCAGTTCTTGTAACAGATCAAATTTGCGTATGTAAATATAATATCAAGATTGAACATTGAAAATATTATGGTCTTTCTGGTTTTTAAAAGGCAGGAAGTCTTTAAGGATACTAGGACCAATAACTTTTCACTGAAAACACCTGAAACAAAATATTTCTGAGAGAAAAAAAAACGGAGAAAAAACACCTTAAGAATTTGTATGAAAAAAAGAAGTGAGATATTAGTATAATGTCGGCATCAGATCCGCGCTATTACAAGGAGGCAAGCACACCAACACACCCCGTCTCCTGCATTCACACACGCAAGCACGCATACATAACACACATGGAAGCATGTCCTTAAATTACATGAGCTGCTGATAGGACGTTAAACAAAATTAAACCAAATCGAACTAGCATTGGGACACGAGAACCCTTGATATTAACATAGTAAATTCAAGACAAGACATCCTTCCGCAGTTTTACGTAAACTCAAATCAATTTACCACGTTTACAATATAATGACACATTTCATTTGTTAATAACCACATTTATTATTAGATGATAGACCATGCGCGTGCGTGTGTCATATTCAAACCGATCATGCACGTGCACGTTCAACGCTCTTCCAAAAACCTGCACATGAACAAGCAAGCCATGGGCACACGGTACTTATTTTTGTATCTATTTTAAGATTTGCTAACCAGCAAACAGAACAGTTTCTCTTTAATCAACGTCTAAATCTACTAAATCCCATCAAAGTAACGGCCACAATATGTGACCGAACTGACCATGAAGGTGATTTGATATAGTGCTTGCAGAGACGAATAATTATGGCTTTATATATATACGTGTTCGTGTTCGTGTTCGTAAATCTGTTGAGTGTTGATTTCATTTGTTCATCAAAAATGTCGATAGATAGGTGCTTTTGATTGATTTAAAAATAACCAAAATTGGAGATAGGGTTTTAGAGGACACGTACCAAATTGGTTACTCTCACCAACCACACAAAACCTTCGCTCAACTTGCTCATGGTGAACGGTCAAGCACAGGCATTGGGCGCGATTCATTTTCCCTAGTTCTTATCACACACAAAAAATCAAAAAAAAATAAAAAATTATGAGGCTTGCATAATCCTTTCCAAATATATCCTGGTATTCTGTCCACAGAGTCAGAAATGAAAAAGACATGCATGTTTAGGCATCACGTGACAAATGTTTGCACGCCCAGAAACAGTCTAATTTAAATATTCAGATTATGTAGAATAGACATAATCCATATATGTTGGTATAATATGGCTGAATATATTACTCGGGATTTGAAAATATTTGAAAAATAATTAACTCGGACCGAGGCGGCATTCGTCAATTATTTTGTTCCAACATTTTCTCAGCCTCATTATAAACTCCGCCATACTTGATTAATCAAAAACATGTTTTCGCTAACATTCTTGCTAATGTGATAAACGGATTTCGGATTCGTTTCCATCTCTTAGCGGAAGATTTATCAAAATCCTCCCGAAGTTTTCTTTTTTAATTAGACAGAACCTCGTTAAAACGAAAACTTATAAAGTTCATTTCATAAATCTCATTTGAAAAGGAAACGCATTTAAGATCCTTTAATGGATTAAGGAACTATAAATCTTTTTTAAGTGTTCTGTGTGAATATTTGTTACCCAAGCCAATTCCTCATCGATCGGACTCGGTTGCACGTACAGGAATAGAAACGTATTGGCGGCAATACGCTAAAACATGATACTGACATTGCATTAGCGTCGACTGTCACTGTTCGTCTTATATACTGTCACCGAGCAGACGGCACCGTCAGACCGCTGCCGATGGGTTCTGTGAAAGTAACTTACCCGGGGGCACCGTAACAACACCAGAATTTATAGCCCTACCCACGGGCTTCGTGAAAGTACTTTCCCCAGAGGCATTGTGACGAGAGAAAAAAATATATAGTCCTACCAACGGGATTCGTGAAACTACTTTACCTATTGGCATCGTGACGACAAAAGTATATAGCCCTACCAACGGGCTTCGTGAAACTACTTTACCCAATGACATTGTGGGGGGAAAAAACAAAACTATATAGCCTTACCCACGGGATTCGTGAAACTTCTTTTACCAGGGGCATCGTGACGACAAATAATATATAGCCCTACTTTTGGACTCTGTGAAAGTATCTTACCCAGGGGCATTGTGACAAAAAAAATTTTATACAGCCCTACCCACGGGCTCTGTGAATAGTAACTTATGCAGAGACTTCATAATAGCATCAAACAGCATAGCCCCGCCCACGGGCTCTTTGAAAGTACCATACCCAAGGGCATCGAGACAACACTAAAAATAATAGAACTACCCTTGGGCTTTATGAAACTACTTTATCGGAGGCCCCGTAACAACATTAAACAGCATAGCCCCACCCACGGGCTCTGAAAATACGCTACCCAGGGGCACTGTAACAGCATCTGAGATCATAGCCCCACCCACGGGCTCGGACAAAACATCCCTCGCAGATAAACAGGTAAGTTTCGGGTTTTTGTACCAAGATTATTTTTCTAATTATTCTTAAAAATACGGAACGGACACTTTTTATCCACTTATAGGAACAGACAGTTATTGACGGCGAAAAATCTTTCTTTTTAATTAGGTGTTTTAGAGTTTGCCGCAAAATTTCCGTTTTAGCAGTACTGTTGTTGAATTAGCGTTGTTCCATTCTTGCAGAATAAGGTATGTTAACGTCTTCCTTCGTAGTATTAGAATAACAATATTTGTTTTTACTTCAGCAATATTGTGAACTGTATTCAGCTAGCACAGGACTGGAAACTATAACGTTACGGTTATGTATAATAACTACAACACGGACCAGATACATGCACGCAATAGATATCAAAAACAAAATCTTTGAACAAAACGTTAACCTGCATGCAGCTTTTGGCAAAGCTATTCTCGTCCAAAATATGTCACAAAATCAACAAACAAACAAACTAGGATATTTTTTCCACTGTCACCAAACAACATTGAAGCTAGAAAAATGCCATCGATCCTAACACCGTTATTAAATGACTTTTGAGTAATTACAACTAGCCAAAGATAACGGACGGACGGTTTTACCGACAGGGTAAGCACTGGGACCAGATACATGTACGCAATACGTGTATTAGTAAGCGCATAACTAAATAGATTTTCTCGATAGCTATAAATGATTTATGACAGTCGAAGGAATAGCAACGTTTAAGAAAACAGCAGTTGTGTCAAATAAACATATACAATAAAATCTCGCTATACTGCCACTATTTGTACAGTGAAAGGACTTTGGGCGTTATGGGTCATTTTTGGCATTATAAATAGTTAAAAATTCAATTTGAATTTATTTACCAATTTCTGTTTAAAACATCATATTGGTTCATTGGGGCTATCTTTCTTGATGCAAATTTTTTTTCCAATGCGCATGCGTAGATGCCCTACCATAGCAACGAAATTGCGTTGCTATGCAGAAATAGCTAAAATATGGTGTTTTTGGACAGTTAGCATACAGAAATGAAAGTCTCCGCATGTGACAAACAAAAATTCCTTTCTACAAGTGAACACTGGTAGGACAATGTTTAAGCATGTCAAATATTTATTTGTTTGTTGCATGCGGAGGATTTCAAAAATTGAAAAGTGTTTACTTAATTTCCAACCAAATCGGGCACAATAGACGATATTCAAGCATTTTATTATAAAAATTCGGGTTTATAATGTCATATCTCCTAAACCAGTTGTCGAATGAATTTGAAATTTCATTTTTGCATTTTTCGTTTAATTCAAAATCCTTGATGAGGCCGGAAATGACCCTTAACGCCCCTTTTGGCCGTTATAAACGAGTTAACAATATACAAAGGAAGACAAATTAACGAAATTGTTAATACAAGGAAACGTGGCGGTAAGCGATGTAACAAATGATATGAAACAAAGGGCATCATATCGAGATTCGTAGAGGTTTGGTGAGGGGACATTATACTGAAGTATAAAGAGGTTTTGTGAGGAACATTATATCGAGGTACGTAGAGGTTTGGTAAGGGCATAATATGGAGGTATGAATAGGTTTATTTCTAGGGACATTATATCGAGGTACGTAGAGGTTTTGTGAGGGGACATACTGAAGTATAAAGAGGTTTTGTGGGGAACATTATATCGAGGTACGTAGAAGTGTGGGTTAGGGCATAATATCGAGGTATGAAGAGAATTATTTTTAGGGACATTATATCGAGGTGTGTAGAGGTTTATCTTTAGGGACATTATATCGATATATGTAGATTAGGGGCATTTTATCGAGGTATGTACAGGTTTGGTTTAGGGGCAATGTATATCGGTATTTGTAGAAGTGTAATTTGGTTGAGGGGCATTATAGCGCGGTATAATAGGTTTTGTGAGGTACATTATATCGAGGTTTAGTTTAGGAACGCTACAGCGAGGAATGTAGAAGTTAGGTTAAGGGTATCTAGCTGAATTGTACGCAGGAATGACAATACTTTTAAAACGTCACAAATGATGTTCTAAAGAAATGTTATGTTTTATTGTACTTCGACGTTAAACTCTTAAACATTTTTTTTATTATACTGTTCATATGAGCGGTATCAAAATGTTCTTAAGTTTCCTTAAAAACCACCAGTGAAATACACTTTGGACGTTAAGTACTAGAATGATACGCATTTTATACCGATGTAGAATGGACGTTTATTTCTAATTTTCATTATTCTTATTTCCAACACAGGGACCAGATATAATGTTATTGAATAC